GGCTTTCCTTTGTTGGTAATTTTTTTTTTACTACATTTTCTTACTTAAGAGAACATGAAATTAAAAGAGTTAGTCTATCAAGTTTTTTGTGTTTTGGTTTTTTTTTTTTGATATCAGGGATCAAACTCGGGTCCTTGTGCTTTCGAGGCAGGCGGCAGAACCACTGAGCTAAATCCGCAACAAGTCTATCAAGTTTTAATGTGGGAGGCATGGTGAATTGTCCAATGGGAAGATGGAGGTTAGGGGTGAAAGTAGAATAATAGAGGAATTTTGGAATTATTATCAGCGCATGACATACAGTGTAGTTCATAATTCTTTGTCCTTTCTTTTTATTTTTTTGGTGCTGGAATTAAACCCAGGACCTTCTAAGCACATGCTCAACCAACCATTGAGTTATCCCTCCTACAGGTCCTTAATAAGCATTGGATAGCGCCGGGGATTTAGCTCAGTGGTTCCAGCGCCTGCCTTGCAAGCTCAAGGTCCCAAGTTCGATCCCCAGTACCAAAAATAAATAAATAAATAAATAAGCATTGTATAAATTAAGGAAACCTATCAGAAACAAGTCGGTCTAGAAATTACAGTATTTCTGAGGTTTCTTAGCCCCTACACTAGCCAAATAATATAACTCTATGAAGTGGACAGTACTGAACCAAAGAACTGTATGGAGAAGCTGAAAAATCTTACTGAACACAAATAGAGGAAAACCAGGGCCAGGGATTTAGCTCAGTGGTTCCGGCGCCTGTCTTGCAAGTGCAAGGTCCTGAGTTCGATCCCCGGTACCAAAAAAAAAAAAAAAAAAACCAAATAGAGGAAAACCTAAATAGGTACTCCACCTTCATGTGAAAGTGTCAGTTCTTCCCAAACTGATCTGCAGAGTCACTACAGTTCTAGTCAAAATTCTAACCAGTTATTGTAGCAACTTTTCAAATTGATTCTACAATTCATTGGAAGGACAGATGACCAATCTTGACCTTCTTGCAGAAGAATTGGCATGAGGACTTGCTCTACTACTATAGTAACTAAGATTTAGGGTTTTAGCCGGGGTGGTTGTATACACCTGTAATCTCAACTACTGAGGAGGCTGAGGCAGGAAGATTGCAAGGTCAGGGCTAGCCTGGGAAACTTTGCCAGACCCCGTCTTAAAAAGGAAAAGGTCTGGGAATATAGCTCAGTGGTAGTGTGCCCCTGGGTTCAATCCCCAGTACTGTTCTGAAAAAAATATATAGTGTCTTAATTCTATTTTTTTCTTTTTTTTTTTTGGTACCCGGGATTGAACTTGGGTCCTTGTGCTTGCGCAGCAGGCAGCAGAACCACTGAGCTAAATCCCCGGCCCAGTGTCTTAATTCTGTACATAGAATAGGCCAAACAGATGTGATGTTGCTGGACAGATTCTAGGTCTGTGCTGTCCAGTATGGTAACTATTTAAGTGCTATATCCCAGCTGTTTTTATTTTTTTATTTTATTTTATTTTTGGTACCGGGGATCGAACTCTGGTCCTTGCACTTGCGCAGCAGGTGGCGAAACCACTGAGCTAAATCCCCGGCCCTTCCCAGCTGTTTTTAAAAAAACATTTATTCATTCATTCATTTGGAATAAACCCTCATGTATGCTATACAAGCACTCTACCACTGAGCTGGATCCCCACCCCTTTTCTTTGTTTTGAAAAAAATTTGTTTTTGAGTCAAGGTCTTTCTAAGTTGCCCAGGCAGGCCTCCCAATTTGTAATCCTTTTGCCTCAGCCTCCCTAGGACCCGGGATTACAGGCGTGGGCCACCAAGCCTGGTTTAAAATTTAAGTTTCTCAGTCATACCAAGCTCTCCCTCTCCCCCTCTCTCCTTTTATTTAATCCTCATCACACGTCCAGGGAATAAGTATTATTTCTCTTGCAGTTTAGGAAATAAGTTCAAAGAAATGAAACAGTTTTGCCCGCAAGACAACCAAGTTGGTATTTTGGGGAGGGTGTGAGGAGAGAAGAGGAGGCAATTTAACCTGGCAGCCAGCATGAGCCTGCTTTAGTTTCCCTTCGAAACCTAGGATGGGGGACCAGGAGGTCGGGAGGGGAAAGTGAAGAGGTCTCCCGTGCAGGAGGCTTTCAGAAAAGAGAATTGTGTCTTGAGTAGCAGTGAGCAAGGTGCACCCTGGCCTGAGTCTTGAGCCTGCAGGTATTTGGATACCTACGGGCAGTGTGATTTAGAAGGCCCAGGTTCCTGGTTTGAGCTCTGGCTTCACTACTTGGTTTCTGACTCAGCAAGTTACTTTGATTCTCTACCATTTATTTTCTTCTTCTGTAAAATAGAGCAGTGTAAACCCTACCTAACTCCTAGGATCATGGTTTAAAAGATTAAATAAAATGCTTTTCAGGTTTATAAAGCTCTGAGGCCTGCCACCTGGCAAATGTGAAGTGTTAGCTGTAATTGTTGTGTTGCTTATAGCTGTATTTTTATTCTGTGCTCATCTTTCTCTTTTCAGTACAAGTTCAGGGATCTGACTGTGGAAGAACTAAAGAATGTAAATATGTTTTTCCCACATTTCAGATATTCCATGGATACCTACGGTAAGAATAATATCCTCTAGTTTTGTTTCATTAACTATAAGTTATTTGGTCCTAGAGAGCTGGAAAATCATAATTTCTCATTTCTTATTTACAGCTACCTATGACTATGAGTTCTGAAGAAATTTAAGTTGATACAGTACACTGTATTTTATGGTAATTTTTTATTGCCAGTGTAACAAATTACCACAAACTTTGTGGCTTAAAAAAATGTAGATTTGGGCTGGGGATTTAGCCCAGTGGTTCCGTCGCCTGCCTTGGAAGCGCAAGGACCTGAGTTTGATCCCTGGTACCAAAAAAAAAAAGTGGATTTACTCTGTCCCATATCCGTAGGCTAGAGGTTCAACATGAATTTCTGTAGCTTGGGGCCGGGGATTTAGCTCAGTGGTTTCGCTGCCTGCTGCACAAGCGCAAGGACCCAAGTTCGATTCCCGGTACCAAAAAAAAAAAAAATTCTGTAGCTTGGAGACTTGGACTAAAATCAAGGTATTAGCAGGTCTTTGTTCCTTCCTGGCAGCTCTGAGGGAGAATCAATCTAATCTTTTCTTTTTTTTTCTTTTCTCTCTCTCTCTCTCTCTCTCCCTCTCTTTCTTTCATCAGGCTCTCACTCTGTAGTCCAGGCTGGCCTTGAACTCACTGTGTAGCTCAGGCTGGCCCTGAACTCACAGCAGTCCTCCTGAGTGCTGGGATTACAAGCGTGTGCCACCAAGCCTGGCTCTCCTCCACTTTTTTAGTTTTTAGAGGTCAGCATTATTCCTTGACTCTCAGTCTACTTTTTCTTCAAAGCCAGCAGAGTTGCGAGTCTATAACAATTCTCCTATAATCAAATCTTTCCCTGATTACAGGAAAAGTTCTCTGTTTTTAAGACCCAATGTGATTAGGTTAGAGCAACCCTAATAATGTAAGATAATTTTCCAATCCTGGGGCTTTTATTTTTATTGTTTTGGTACCAGGGATCGAACTCGGGTCCTTGCGCTTACGTAGCACGAGGCGAAACCACTGAGCTAAATCCCCGGCCCAGTGAGGCCTTTATTTTAATCTCATCTATAAAGTCCCTTGCCAGGTAACCTAACGTATTCATAGTTTCTAAGGATTAGGATATGGACATCTTAGAAGGGCTGTATTCTGCTACCACCTGCATGGCTGATTCTAACTTATTAACAAAGTTTTGGTTATTTTGCTCCCTTAACAGAGGATCTCGTTGTCTAAGAAAGATTTTACTTATTATCTTTTTTTTTGGGGGGGTACTGGAGATTGAACTTGGGACCTTGCACTTGTGGGGCAGGCGGTGGAAGCACTGAGCTCAATCCCCGGCCCTTTACTTACTAGCTTTTAAAATTTTTTACTTCGGGGCTGGGGATTTAGCTCAGTGGCATCTCACCTGCCTCGCAAGTGCAAGGTTCTGAGTTCGATCCCTGGTACCGGAAAAAAGAAAATTTTTTTTACTTCAGAATACTATCAGAAGAGTATTTTATATCATGATCCTGTTGTATACACAACTAAAATACTGTGTCCACTCATATCTTCTCTTCTATCCCACTTAAAAACAAATGCTGAGGGCCTAGGATGTAGCTCGGTGGCGTCGCTCCTGCCTCTCGAGCACAAGGTCCTAAGTTTGATCCCAGGTACCAAAAACCCCAAAAGCCAAATGCTGAGCTGAGGCTTACTCAGTGGTAGAATACTTGCCTAGTGTGTGTTTGAGGCTCTGGTTTAATCCCCAGCACTGTTAAATAAATAAAAATGACGGACTCACTGACTTGATTTCAGATTCCACAGATTAGTCAAGCTGGCTTGGTGGCCCATGGCAATAATCCCAGCACTCAGGAGGCTGAGGCAGGAAGACACAACAAACTGGAGGCCAACTGGCATTATACAATAAGACCCTATTGCAAAAAAAAATTGTTTTTGATTCACAAATTAATAAAATGTAGTTTTGAAAAACTTTTAAAATTTGAATTATTTAAGAAAATGTATATAAAAAAAGAAAATAGGGCTGGGGATTTAGCTCAGTGGTTTTGCCGCCTGCTGCGCAAGGGCAAGGACCCGAGTTCGATCCCCAATACCCAAAAAAAACCCAAACAAACAAAAAAGAAAATATATCTATTCAGATTTATAGGTCAGATATCCTGAGAAGTTTTTTCAGGTTTTTTTGTTTTGTTTGTTTTTTTAAATTTTTTGATACAGGGTCTCACTGTGCAGTCCAGGCTGGTCTTGAACTCACTGCGTAGCCCAGGCTGGCCTCATAGTCACAGCAGTCCTCCTGCGTCAGCCTCCCAAGTGTCAGGATTACAGGTGGTCTGCCACCACGCCCGGCTCCTGGGAGTCATTGAAGTACTGCTTAGGAGTGGCCGTTTGTATATGTGGAGAGGTTATTAGATTCTGATTCATCTGCAGCTGCCCCCTCTTTTCCCAGTGCTGGGAATTGAAAGCAGGGTCTCAAACATGGTAGGCAAGGGCTCTGTAACCACCTTAAACCCCAACTCTTGGCCCTTTTGCTATTTTTGGTACTACAAAAATACCCAGAAGGAGAGGTACAATAACTACTATTTATTGAATGTCGGGCCGGGGATTTAGCTCAGTGGTTCTGCCCCTGCCTCACAAGCGCAAGGACCCGTTTGATCCCTGGTACCAAAAGAAAAAAAAAATACTATTTATTGAATGTCAGATGTGCTCCCAAATGTTTTATCTACATTAACTTACATTTTTTGTAATGATCAAAAGTGTGAGGTGTTATTGTCTTCATTTTGGAGATAAACTGAGGTTCCAAGAGTTTAACTTCCTTAGGGTTATATAGCTATGAAGGGATGGAGTTCGGTTTTTACTCGTGTCTGTCATGCTGGGTTTTTTTTTTGGTACTGGGGATCGAACTTGGGTCCTTGCGCTTGGGCAAGCAGCAAAACCAAGGCAGCCTAGTTTCCTGTTTTCCCTTTTGAAATAGGTCATCAAAATCTGTCTAGATATTTTTTCTTCCGCCCGAATAGTATAATTACTGAGATATTAAAAGGACTGCATTCCAGTGCAGTTTGTTTGAATCAGTGGTATTGTTTCTTTGTCTTCAGCCTGTGATTAGAACATTGATTCTCCTCCAGAGCATCCCAGTTACTGATGGGAAAGTTAAAATTTCAGGCATGTAAATGTTTTCTTTTTTTTCTTTCACATACTTTTAATCTATGGTTGGTTGAATCTGCAGACAATGAACCTGAAGAAATGGAGGGCCAAATGTACAGAGAATTAAGACTCGGTTGGGGATGGGGGTGTTGTGTGTGTATCGTATATCCTGTGACCTTGCTAAACTCTAGGTTTTTGAAGATTCTTTGGGACAATCATGTTGTCTGTCAATGGAAACAGTTTTATTTCTTCTTTCCCAATCTCCTCCTCTTTTATTTCCTTTTGTTGCCATATTAATGCTGACCAGGATTTTCTAGTAAAACACTGAACTGGAGAGAGGTTAAGAGTAGACATTCTTGCTTTATTCTTGTTCATGGAAGAAAACTTTCATTCCTTCATTAAGTATGATTTTAGCTGTAGTTTGTTTTGATTATGATTTTCCTTTTATGAACAGTGGAATTTAATTTGCCTTTTTTTTTGAGGATTTCTGCAGTATGTTCATGAGGTAAACTGGTCCTTAGTTTTCTTTTCCTTTGTCCTTCCTTTATTGTTTACTGTTTGTCTGGTTTACATAATCAGGTTAATTCTGGCTTCATAAGGCAAGGTGGAAAGTGTTTCATCACCTTCTAACTTCTGGTCCAATGAACTGACTGCTTCCCAGTGTCGTTGGTCTGGTTTTCCCACTATTAACAGGTGGGGAAAACATCACACTGAAGTTCAGCAGGTCGCTCAGCTCCTTGTCAGTCCCGTTCGTGGCCATGTGCTCTTGTTGGGGGTTCATCTTCGGCCATTTCACAGGTCCAGCCTCCAGCGAAAGCTCCCTCAGGCTGCGTGCTGGCGGGGGTCGCTCAGTGGCCACCTTCCTCCGGGCGGGCTGCGGTTCCCCCACAGAACTTGTGGGTCTCCTCAGGCCTCAGGCATGTAAATGTTGAACAAAGGTTAAGAATAATAGAGAAACCAAAGAAGATAACTATTAATCTTTCTAAAAGGTTGCTTCAAAAAGGTAACATTTTCACAAGCACAAGGTCCCAAGTTCAATCCCTGGTACTAAAAAAAAATGTTAGGTGGGGATCGAACTTGGGACCTTGCACTTGTGAGACAGGTGAGCAAACATTTTTCTTCTGACTAGAAAAGCAATTATAATACTGATCGCTTTTCTACATCTTGTTTGATCCCTATGATAATTTTGCATAGTAGTTTATTTTATAGATTGTGAAACTGAAGAGAGATTAAAGTAACCAAAACATGCCTCTAAGAGGGAAAGTAGGCCTAGAATTTGAAATTTCAGTATCAAAGTTCTGTGTTCTTTCAACTAGTCTCACGGCTTTCTAAGGAAACAAAATCTAGTGATTTCCCCTTGTTGATATATGTGCTGATCCTGAGATGTAGAGATTGAGTGGCATGTGTATGCACATATGGGGTGCGTGTGTGTGTGTGAGCATGCATTTACATACTTTATTACAGTTCTACTTCTGATTGCATTTTTTGGATTTTTTTTCCTTCCAGTTTTTAAAGATAGTTCCCAGAAGGACCTGCTGAATTTTACTGGCACTCTTCCTGTGATGTATCAGGGTAAGTGGAAGTTGAGAAAATATGGTAGTTTTCTAAACAAGCAATTCATTAATAAGAATTTGGATTTGTTTATGCTATAATATTATCAAAGTATTTTCACATAGTATGATCTGTTCATAACCTTACTGGGTCTGGCAGGGCTCTGTCCCATTCGAGGAAGGCCTGGACTAATGCCAGAGAGTTCAGTTTTCAGGCGTGGTGGCACACTCCTGTAATCCCAGCTCCTCGGGAGACTGAGGTAGGAGGATTGATGCCAGCTTGATGAGACAGACTTTGTCTCAAAATAAAATATAAAAAGTGCTGGGGATGCAGCCCAATGGTAGAGCACCCCTGGGTTCCATACCCAGTACTGGCAAAAAGAAAATTCGCTACTATGTGCCTGCTACTCTTGTAGGCCCTGGGGTGCAGAGCAAGATTGACACAGACTGGCTTCTGTTTTTCTGTTTTTCCCTCCCTTCCTTCCATCAGATGCAGCATTATTATTGCTTTGCTGGTGCTCTGAATAAGCCTGGGTTTACATTAATCCTTTCTGTTTCTTAAAATGGCACTGAGCTACATTGTGACTATGTTTATGCTTCATTACTATTTGAAGATGTGTTTGTTTGTCTCATTTAGGTCACCAGTATAACATACCAGTTCGTTTCTGGATTTTGGATTCTCATCCTTTTGCTCCTCCCATTTGCTTCCTGAAGCCAACAACAAATATGGCAATCTCAGTTGGAAAACATGTGGATGCTCAAGGCAGAATATACTTGCCCTATCTCCAAAACTGGAGCCATGTAAGATCAATTTGGATTTTTTCCAAAAAGCTTTTATTTTTCTGAACAAATTATACTGCATTTTCTTTCAATTATATTCTTCATGTGATCTTTCAAAGTAATTTGAAATTGAACCTGTCTAGGGTCACCTAGGTCCCAGAACCCTGTACAAAGCTGTGGTCTCCAGGTTTGGTGCCAGGTATTGTTTTCTCCTTGTCCTTTTATAGCCGTTTGCCACTTGAGGAAGCACATGAAAAGCTACTACCAAGACATCAGGGCATCATTTCTTAGTTCTTCCCTATTAAATATTCTTATGTAAGCTGGGTTTGGTGGCGCACACCTATAATCCCTGCATCCAGGAGGCTAAGGTAGAAGGATTTCTGTGAGTTCAAGACCAGCCTGGGCTATGTAGTGAGTTTAAAAAAAAAAAAAAGATTCTTATATAATTTATGTATGTACTTACTTGTAATTTGCCTGTTTTTGACCTTTGTCTAAATTGAATCAGACAATATGTAATATTCTGTGATGCAGTTTATTTTAAATGAATATTAAAGTTTTGTTGTTTGCAGTGCAGAGGATCAAACTAGTTCTTTTTTGTTTTGTTTTTTGGTACTGGGTTTCGAACTCAGGACCTTGTGCTTGCAAGGCAGGCATGGTGCCACTGAGCTAAATCTCTGGCCCTCAAACTGGTTCTTATTCGTGTGAGGCAAGCAGGTATCACTAAGTTACACCCCTAGCCTCAGCATTAAGCTTTTCGTTCTGTTATTTTGTTTTTGTTTTTGAGACAGGGTCTCACTATGTAGTTCAGGCTGGCCTCAAATTCATGATAATCCTCCTACCTCAACCTCCCGAGTGCTAAGATTATAGGCATGCACCACCAATCCCAGCCTCAGCATTGTTTTTTCTTTTTTCTATTTTCAGTACCGGAGATTGAACTCAGGACCTTGTGCTTGCCAGGCAACCGCAATGCCACTGAGCTAAATCCCCAGCCCCTCAGTATTAAGTTTTAAAACTTAATCTTCACGGATGTATATAAGAGCAGTTTATTTGTTTTACAAGTCCTCATGTTGTGTAATTTTTTTTTTTTGGTACCAGGGATCGAACTCGGGACCTTGTGCTTGCAAGGCAGGTGGCAGCATCACTGAGCTAAATCCCCGGCCCATGTTGTATAATTTTATGTAGATTTCTCATCGTTATATTGAATATTTCTCCCATATTAAGCTGCTTTTGAAATGCATGGTTCCGTGATGATCCAGCATAAGGTTATTACATAATATATTTCTAAATTGCTCTAAGAAATTTAATATGGATTTTCCTTAAATATAAATATTGTATATATCTTATGTATGTTTAATAATTTCCTAATGATAAATTATTGGGTCAAAGGTTTTAAAATATTTTTAGGTTTCCTTATGTATTGCCAAACTGGCCTTCAAAAATGAACAAAGTGAGGCATTTCTGCCATCAGAAGAAATCAGTATAGGAGGGCAGTAATCAGAGGTATTGTCATTAAAACAAAGTTTTACTTATCTCTGTACATTGAAAGATGTACAAGATGCCATTACTTTTGTAAGTAATTAGAAGCTTTATAAAGGATGACTGACTTATTTTATATGTGCTCAGAAGGCTGAAGATCTGGAGCACAGGGATAGTTGGAGTTGAGTGAGGCTGGAGTAGAAGATGGGATTAGGGTATCACTTCTTGTTACATGGGCATATTGTCAAGAGATTTGCAGTTATGGGCATTTTACTAGGTTTTTATGGTGTTTTGTATTTTTCAAATGTAAAACCTTTAAATGAAGAAAAATGGAAACAGAGAAAGGATACACACCATGTTGTCAGTAGCGAAGCTGACTTATTTTATGAGCTTGTCTATTTCCATTACTTGATAATTTTTTTGCCCTTGGTGCCGAGAATTAAACTCAGGACCTTGTGCTTGCCAGGCAGGCGTGGCACTGCTGTGCTACATCCTTGGCCCCATTAAATAAGATTGCCACTTAAGTGTAATAAATGGAGCATGATAAAAATTGGAAGGATGAAAATGGTATCTCATTCTGTTTGTTGATTGAGTCAGGGTCTCACTCTAGTTGAGGTTGGCCTCGAACTCACTACACAGGCCTCAAACTCACAGCAGTCTTCTTGCCTCAGCCTCCCAAGTGGTGAGATTTATAGCTGTGTGTCACCATGCCCAGCTAAATCTTAATTTTCAGTTTATTGGTTATTTGAGAAATTGAAATCTTTTTCATGTATTTATCAGTCATGTATGTTTCTTCTCTTTTGAATTGTCCATCTCCTTATCCATTATCGCTCTCCTCCTCCTTTGCCTTTCTTCTTTTTTTCCCCTTTTATGGCAGTGCTGGGGATTAAACCAGGGCCTCGTGCTAGACAAGTGCTGTGCTTCTGAGCTACGTCCTCAAACTGTGTTCTGATATCTGTGCCGTGTTGCAGGAATTCATATAACCTACTTCTCTCTGGTTTTCTTTGGCATCTCTTTTCATAGTTCTGTTTGTTTAATAAATTCTCAGTGATAGTCCTGTAATTTAGTTGAGGTATTGTTTTCAGTGTAGATAGTACTAATTTCATTTTACTAGTCCGAGGCTGATTATTATAAGCTAAAACTAGTCTTTAAAAGATACTACATTATTCAAGTTTCCCTATTTAAAAGTACTACAGTACCTTTAGGTTCCTGACACAGTTGTAATTACACAGTATAATTATGTAGAATTTTGGAGATAGAATCCGGAGGTCACGTAGGGCAGGGAGTGCACTTTCCTGAAGGGATTCATTGAGCTGCATAGGTCTACAGGATTTAGTTTGAAGAGCTTGGTGGTTTTGTTTTACTTTGTTTCGATCGGAATATGAACATGAATGTCTGTAGGCACACTCTTTCCAGTTGGCCGTAATAGCCAGCTCTCCAGATTTCCTTATACTTGTCAGCTTCGCACATTTCATATTATCTACTTGGTCTTGAAAGGTATTTTAGTATCTTTTTTTTTTTTTTCCAGTACTGGGGATCGAACTCAGGACCTTGGGCTTCTGAGGCAGGCGCGGTGCCACAGAGCTAAATCCCTGGCCCCTGATATTTTAGTTTTTGACTAATGGCATCTTCTTTTTTTTTTTTTTGGTACCTGGGATCGAACTCAGGACCTTGCGCTTGTGAGGCAGGTGGCATAACCACTGAGCTAAATCCCCGGCCCAATTAAGCACTTTTTAAATGAGTGTACTACTACTAAATATTCCTGATTATAATAATAAGCATCTGTTCACTCTCGTAGCTTGTTGTTTCCATGCATTAGCTCATTTGTATCTTCTAACAGCCATTGGGATTCGTTAGTCACATTGTATTATTGATGACACTTAAGCTCAGCATGGTTAAGTAAATTTCATCAAGGTTGTTTAACCAGTTAAAAGAAAACAGTACCAACTTGAATTTTTTTTTAAAGGAAATACATTCTATAGGTTTTAGGGATAAAGGGCATCACGTCTATAGGTTATTCTCACTTGATTAAAAAAGAGAGAGAAACTAAGCATATGTGATAAAATGTTCACATTTGAGTAATCTGGGTGGAATGCATGTACTATTTTTACGACTATTCTCTAAGTCTGAAATTATTTCAAAATAAAAAGTTAAAAAATATATAGTTCCTAAGCCTAGACATTCTACTACTCAGTGTATTCATGCTGTTTTCCTTATTTTTAGAGATGGTGACTTGGCATTATTTGCCTTTTATCTTATAGGCTTGTGGAGTATTTTTCATGAGATCTTTGGGGAGAGTAGTGTATGCTAATAGAATTTGACAGTGACTAAAAGTATCACATGATTTGTGTAGTAACTTTGGAAAAGTGAGAACATGATGGAATACAGTTGACTCATATTAGTCACTTTCCCATGACTGGGACAAAATCCCTGATACCCACAATTTAAAAGAAGGAAGGTTTATTTTAGCTCATTGCTTGATTTTTCAGTCCATGGTTGGTTGCTCCAAGGCAGATACAGCATGGTGGAAGGGCCTGGCTGAGGAAAGCTGCTCACCCCCTGACGGTCAGGAAGCAGAGAGAGAGTTGGCTGAGAACAAGAATACACCCTCAGCCCACACCCCAGTGATCTGAGCCATTCCTGGAGTCAGGCTCCGCCCCCCCCCCCAGCAGATCCATCTATGAAAATCCACTGATGAGTGTAGCACCCTCCTGACCCAATCACCTTCCAAAAGCTCCGTCTCTGAACACATGAGACTTTGAGGGGGGCATTCTAGATCTAAAGCGTAACAACCCTTGAACAACAGAGGTTTGAATTGCAAGTATTCACTTATAGGTGGATTTTTAAAAGATTTTTGTGACAATTTAGAAAAGCTTTCAGATGAACCAGACTAGAAATGTTGAAAAAATAAGAAAAGGATGTGTCAAGTGCACAAAATATATTTGGACATTAATTTTATTTACTACCATAAAATATACACAAAGCTATTATAAAAATGAAAATATTTCCAGATTTACAGACTTAGAGACCATAATACATGGTGCCATTTGCATGTATTGACAAACAGTGTAAACAAACATGTGGTATTAAGCTACAGCTGCATAAAGTTAACTGTAGTACATAGTGTATGTGTTATTGTAATACCCTAGCTACCTCCTATTCCTATTGAAGTGAGCTCGTGATTTAATAATCTGATTATCCATTAAAACACTGGGTGACAGGCCGGGGATTTAGCTGAGTGGTTTCGCCGCCTACTGCACAAATGCAAGGACCTGAGTTCGATCCCCGGTACCAAAAAAAAACAAACACTGGGTGACACTAATCTCAGTTTGTCCAGTAAATTACACATTGCAGTAAAAAGTGGTTCTCATGTGTTTTTCACTATATGTAACACACGTGACATAGAAAATATGTGTTAATTGGCTGTTTATGTTATTGGTAAGGGTTCTGGTGAACAGCAGGCTGTTAGCAGTTACAGAGTTATTCTCAGATATTTCACTGCACATGGCTCAGTGTCCCTAATCCCCCATGTTGTTCAAGAGTCAGCTGTACTTTCTTTTGGCTAACTCTATGACAATGTACAGATTTAAAAGATCATATTCTTCAGCAAAATTGTTGTGTAACTTTTCCCTTCGTGTGTATTGTACAGCCTAAATCTGTCATTGTTGGATTAATTAAAGAAATGATTACCAAGTTTCAAGAGGAACTTCCCCTATATTCTCTGCCATCATCTGATGAAGCTCAGCAGGTAGACTTGCTGGCCTATATTGCAAAAATTACTGAAGGTTTGTATTTTTGTTGATCAGATTGACTTAAGAGTTATGAATTTACAGTTTGTCACTAATATCCTTTACTCCTTGCTACTTGATTTCTATAAATATGTGCATATATGTGTGTGTGTGTTCAATGAAAAATTCCATACAGTTATTACCATACAGTTCCAATTAATACAATTTCCTAAAATGTGAAAACTTACTTTATAATGACAATTCTTTTTTTGTTCAAAACCACCAAATACATATTAATGATTCCAAACCTTTTTCATTATATATTTACATAGCTTTCTGGCTTATTCATTACACTGGACCACAAGAGCTGTAATTCTTATTGAGAATAAAGACAAATACTTATGCTTGGAAAATCTCAGCAGGTGTAGACCAAAGCAGTACGAATCAGAATGTTTTTCAAAACTATGGAAACCTGACATTTTTAGAGTCTTCTACGATATTTTTTAGATGTTTGAAAAGACAACTTTCTTTTTAAAAGGATAGCTTTCATTTAGTAGAATATTTAATGTAAGACTTTTTGCATTCATTTCTTCAACAGGTATTTTTTAAGTGCCTATTATGGACTATCATCATGTTTTCTGAGTTATTAAAACTTGATGTATTTTTTAAAAGATTCTAAACAGATCTTTGGAATTATTATTAAATTCTCAGAATAACCCACTTTTCTTTATAGGTGTCTCAGATATAAATTCAAAGAGTTGGACAAGTCATGAGAACAAAATAGCCAATAAAATTACTGTGGTTGGAGGTGGAGAGTTGGGTATTGCCTGCACATTAGCAATTTCAGCAAAGGTAGGTGAGCATAGTATTATCAATACTTCTACCATAGTACCATGTTGTTGTTTTTTTTTGGTACCGGAGATCGAACTCAGGTCCTTGCGCTTGCAAGGCAGGCAGCGGAACCACTGAGCTAAATCCCCAGCCCAGTGCCATGCTTTTAGGCAGGTTTAAATGTAAGATCCAAAAAATAATAGCTTGATTTTGTCATTAGGAAAACCTTATTTTGCCTTAAAATATATGAAGTTGACAAAAAAAAACCTGAGAGTTCTCATCAGTGATGTTGCCTCTTAATTAGTAGTTAGCATTGAATAGGCTTTGAAAAAGCAATTTGAACAATGGGCTCATTGTAATAATGCAAGGGAAGCTTCAAGTTGACATTCATTGGACTTAGTCACAAATTCTTTTATGTTTTCTGAGTCATGCTACTTTAATTAAACTTACTTAATGTAATATTTAATTTAGGTCTTTCTAAAATTATCATTAAAAAAAGAATTGACTTATATAGTTATTTTCTTTTTTTATTTTTTTGGATACTGGGGATTGAACCCAGATCCTTGCGCTTGCGCAGCAGGCGACGAAACCACTGAGCTAAATCCCCAGCCCTATAGTTATTTTCTTTTGAGATCATAGTTTGAGTTAATATTTTACATTAGTTTATGATTTACTTTTTGTCAGTATTTTTTTTCCTTAAATTCTTTTATTGTTACATTTTAGGTATACAGTATATTTACATTTATCATTGTGAACTTGTACCTTTACGTAATGTATCTTGGTTCTTATTTTTTAGTCTTCTTTTCTAAATACATTGTTTACATAGAGGCTTAGAACCACTTCCAGAGAGGTAAAAGACCTGCCACCTCCATCCACAGCACCCTAGCTTGGGAACAGCATGTCGTGTGTCATTTGAGAGATGGAGCCTAGAACAGAGTAGCATCACACTATATATTTATTTGGTGGCTGACATTAATTTTTCTTTTTCTACTAAGATGTGATTGTTTTACCATCTAAATTCTTCCCTTTCCATTTAAGACTCACATATATCCTCAAAGTAGGTTCTGCTTCAGCAAATAATTAAATTATGTCCAAGAAGAGGTACAGAAATTTTAAAGTTGGCTACTCAGAGCAATATATCCTCACTTTGGGTGTATAATAGTTTCATTCCCTTCACCTTCCCTCTGAGTACACCACTATGTTTGAATTGGAATTTGAGTTGTATTCAGTTCTTGATTATTAAATGAAATGCTTCTGTAAACATTACTTTGTAAGTTGATTATTTTCCTATCTGAATTAGTTTCTTTGAGGAATACACCATCTCAAAAACAGTACCACCTAAGGATTTAGCTCAGTGGTGCCACGCCTGCCTCAGAAACAGTACCAGTGTGCCAGAGGACACGGCTTATTTCATGGCAAGACTGCTCTTCAGAAAGGCAAAACTAGTTTATGCTTCTAATAATAATGTGGATGTCAACCTGAGTTTTGATGTCCCCAGTAGTACTGAGTCTTGTTAAATTTATTTGTAATTATGTCTTTTTTAAAAAAAAATGAGAAAGCACCTCAAAGTCATGTCTCTACTGTTAGAAAACTCTTACTGTCATTATTTGGCTGTGAACTCTTTAGGTAGAAATCTTTTTACTTTATATATATATATATTTTATTTTAAATGGGGCCAGGGATTTAGCTCAGTGTTTCCAGCCCCTGCCTCGCAAGTGCAGGGTCCCAAGTTTGATCCCCAGTACCAAAAAAAAAAAAAACATTTTATTTAAATGGTTGCATTTTTTTTCAGCATTAGTCGTTTGGTCCTAATGCAACAATAATAGTGGTCCAGTAGTGGCACTGGTAGAATAAAAGTGAAAAAGTAAGTGCCCTTAACTAAATGCAAAATAGGTGCCAGGCACTTGTCTAAATATTTGACTCATTTTTTGCAACAACCTCATTGGCTAGGCAGTGTTGTTAGCGCCATTTTACAAAGGTAGAAACCAAGGCATTGGGAGGTTAGCCAACTTGCCCAGAGTTAGACTGTTAATAAAGGTGGAGCAGGATTTGTAGACAGGTAATCTGGGGACTAGAACCTGTACTCTTGATCCTTACTGCTGATACTGCAACATTCATCTCCTGTGATTTGTTAGAAATGCATAATTTGCCAGGCATGGTGGTACACACCTGAAATCCCAGCACTTGGGAGGCTGAGGCAGGAGGATAGCAATGAGTTCGAGGCCAGCCTGGGCTACCTAGTAAGTGTAAGGCCAGCCTGAACCATATAGCAAGACCCTGTCTCAACCAACAAAAACGAAACAAACAAAAGAAATGCATAACCCTACTCTAAATCTGCATTTTAATAAAACCCCTAATGCTCCATACACTTCACTGATCCATCAAAGCTTGAGCGTCTCTCCCCTAAGCCACTGTATTACACTGCTTTATGATGAATACTTTGGTTGTTTTTAACTTTTTGAATATCCTTATACATACTGTATTATTTTTGACATGTACTAATAAACTTGCAGGATAATTTCTATAAAATGAAATTGATGGATTAAAGGAGTTGTTAGATTTTAAAATGTTTTAAATTGGAAACTGTCACATTATTACCTATATCAGTCATACCAGTTTATTCTCACATATATAATATATGAGAATACCTATTTCTCCACAATGACTGTTATTAAACATGGACCTCTGTGTGTCTGATAAATAAAAATTTGCTTGTGAGTGTGTTAGCAACAAAGTGAATAGCTCTGAGTTAGAGGACTACTGTATGCCCATCCTGTGTCATATAATTAATCTCACAACCACATGAAATAAGGCTGCCCAGTGTTACACAGCTAACCGATAGTACAGTGATGTTTTCTCAGTCATGATGCTTTCTGCCTGTAGTTGTCTGGTAGATCCCTGGGTACTTTTACTCCGGCATGCTTAGGTGTTCCACTGCTTTAGAGAAGCCCTACAAACTCTAGGAGCTTCGTACTGTTACAGTCAGTCCACCGTGCTACTCAGGGAGCTATTTGTAGGCAGGTGGAGTATTTTCCATGAACTCCAGAGAGTGTACCACATGACAATAGAATTTGACTCTAGATTTATGGCTATTACTCCACCCCCTTTTAAAAAGAGAAACCTTGGGTCAGGGATTTAGCTCAGTGGTTCCACCACCTGCCTTGAAAGTGCAAGGTCCTGAGTTCAATCCCCAGTACCATAAAAATAAAATAAAATAAAATAAAATAAAATAAAAAGAGAAACCTGGCATTAGTTTTGATGTTCATGCTAGGAATGAGATGCTAAAACATACCCCACAACCATTCTAAACTGTTTCAGAATGGAAAGTATGACATCAGAATGAAAACATAAACTCAGGAGCAGTAGCAAACTTCCTTATTACACATCCCATCAAAGAAACCAGCCACCTTTGGCTTCTGAGTTAAGCCCTGTTAGGTAGGGTCTGGTTTTTGTAGTCAAACTGAAATGATCACATTATTTGAGTTCAGAATTTCTTGCTTGCACATCACCTTTATTGCTATGGCGTTACTTTTCCTTCTTATGGAAGTGCACAAGGACTCTGTTAGCTCTTACTTCTCCCCTTGCCCCTCAGTACTGGGGATTGAACCCAGGGAGTGGGTTTTATTCCCAGCCATTTTTTTTTCCTCCAGGACAGGGTCTCACTAAGTTTGCCTAGGCTAGACTCAAACCTGCATTTTGCTTGTGACCTCAGCCTCCCTAATAGTTGGAATTACAAGCTGGTGCTACTGTGCCTGGCTAGCCCTCAGCCCTTAATGAATTTAAATTGAGTGTAATGCTGTTCATGTTCTTATTGTACTGTACAGGGCATTGCAGATAAGCTGGTCCTTCTGGACTTCTCAGAAGGGACTAAAGGAGGCACAATGGACCTTGATATCTTCAGCCTGCCTAATGTGGAGATCAGCAAAGGTTTGGTTATTCTACTTAAACATGTTTGCTTTACTTGTATTTGAGTCCTAGATTTTTTTTTTTTTGGCTGTGCTAGGGACTGAGTCCTATAATTTTAATGCTGAAAAGTGTCTTGAAAATCACCTGATTCAAGTCCTTCATTTTAGGAAACATTAGGAAACAGTGATTCAAATGATTTAAGTGATTTACCCAAAGTCATACAGAGATTGTAACTAATTATGTTAGGAAGAGTCAAATGAACAGAACATTCAGATTCATTCAGATGGTCAGAAGGATTTATTCTTTGTCTCTGACTTAAGTTTTCAGATAAATTTGTTTTCTCTGATTGCCTCTTTTCTCAGTGTATTTAAGAAAATTGGTTTTGGGGCCAGGGATTTTGCTCAGTAGTTCCAGCTCCTGCCTTGCAAGCGCAAGGTCCTGAGTTCGATCCCCGGTATCAAAAAAAGAAAACTGGTTTTGGAGTTAGACAGATGGGAGTTTGGATCCTAGCTCTGCCACATTATATCTCTGGCGTTTGTCAAATTAAATAATCTCTCCAAGTTCAGTTATCTCATTTTTAAAATGGGAATAATAATACCTACCTCATGGTATATAGAAGTGTTAAACACAACATATTCAAAATAAATTTTAATAAAAACAAGGTTACTATATCAACAAATAGATATTTTAAATGTTAAAAAAGTTATTTGCCAGCCCAATGGGATTTTTTTTCCCTAGCTCATCCTTTTTTTTTTTTTTTTTTTTTGGTGAAATGAGGTTGGGCTGTTTTGCCCAGGCTGGCCTCTAACCCCTGGGCTCAAGCAATCCTGCTGCCTCGAATTCTCGAGTTCCAAGAATATGCCTGGCTTCTCTCTCATTTTTTTTTTTTTTTTGGTACCAGAAAATGGACTCGGGACCTTGTGCTTGCGAGGCAGGTGGAGGAACCACTGAGCTAAATCCCTGGCCCTCTGTCATCTTTTTAATTTTAAAAAGTTGCACCTATGTTGTATCCATGATATCTTGGTACAGACACATTTTAATAAGTCAATTACCATATTTTGGGATATAGTCTTCAAAATATTTTACTGCCAGAAATGCATGATCAAAAAAAAAAATTCAGGGCCGGGGATTTACCTCAGTGGTTTCACTGCCTGTTGCGCAAGCACAAGGACCCGAGTTCAATCTCCGGTACCAAAAAAAAAAAAATCATGGAATTAATATGAGAAAATGAAAAATTGGAAACAAAAGTCTTTGTAAATAGGGAGGGATGGAGGGGTTGAAGGGAGGGCGGGGGAAGGGGGAAAAAATAAGAACCAAAATACATACACACCAATTATTGTCCAGAAAAAAAAAGATTCAAGAGGCTGTTGAAAAAAACATACTTCTTTTTTTCTTTTTTTCAAAACGTACTTCTTAAAACCTTTCCATTCATCCAGGGGTGGGAAACCTTTTAGAGATGAGTGCCCAATATGCAACCCCAAACCCATTATTTATCACAAAGTGCCAACACTGCAATTAAACCTGAACACTGAGGTTTCAGTTTAGAAAAAAACAACTCACACATTAACATCTTTTGTCTTTAAAAAAAACAACACACATGCCATAGGTTCACCACCACTACACTGGTTTATAGGTAAGGTCAGATTGTATGTGCTACAGTCATTTATTTGGGTTTGCCTTTCCTTGGACTCCCAAGATTCCTTGACCATGTTTTCCAAATAATACAGTCTCACAAGCTGGAATGTACCTATAGTGGTCAGAAAAGTTGAAATTATACCTGTCAGATATAAAATTAGGTGTTACAGTCCTAATTCCTATAGGAGGCACTGGGTTATTTTTAGTTTCTGGAAAGAGTACTATAGTTGCTTTGATGATCCTTTTGTAGGGTTCATGCAGAGGCTCCCTTTGGGAGTTGGATATTCTCTTGTGCCTGTCATTTCCACATATGGAAGTTCTTAAGGGACCTCGTATATCTTCCAAATTGCTTTAAGAGACTTTAGTACATGGACCCTGGAGGCTGTGATCTGTTTCCAACCTGAGGAAGTTGTTTCTTCCTATGTGTCTCATTAAGCATCAGTGACTGTTGCTTCAGATATGTGAAGGAACAGAATCCTTGGAATAGATGCACCGTGCATGCTGCAAGCCACCAAGTAGGGACAAGAATTAGCTCCTGAAAGTTGAATGAGTGTACATCATCTTGTGGCAAATTTCCTGTTGTCAGTGTTGATTTTGGTTGTATGCTTCTGATGGTGCCTCATTTCATTACTGTTACATAGAGTAATTTTAAATGTAATGGCAACATCTTATATGTATATGATATCAGGAAGTAAGTTGATAATTTGGGGAATTAAAGCTCATTTGGAAGTTTTAGTAATACCCCATCATAACATTCATAAATGATTGCAACTGGTCCAGTGGTTCCGGCACCTGCCTTGCAAGCACAAGACTGCAACTGATGGGTCATTCTAGAGTTGTGTTTTTCTGCATTTAGTTTTTTGGGGGTTTTGGGGGGGGTTTTTTGGTACCAGGGATTGAACTTGGGTCCTTGTGCTTGTGAGGCAGGTGGCAGAACCACTGTGATAAATCCCCAGCCCTCCATTTAGATTTTTTTTTTTTTTTTTTTTTTTAGGTACCGGGGATTGAACTCAGGTCCTTGTGCTTGCGCACTAGGCAGTGAAACCACTGAGCTAAACCCCCAGACCCCTCCATTTAGATTTTTAAAAGAGCTACTATAATATTTTGGGGAGAGATTGACATATGATCATGCAAATTCATGTACATTTATATGCGTATATAGTCGTGCTTGTGTATGCATGAACTGAATCTGGAAAAATACTAATAAGTCATTCAGAATAGTTGCTTTGGGAGTCAGAATGAGAGATCTGGCTGTGCTTTTTTTTTTTTTTTGGTACTGGGAATCGAACTGGGGTCCTTGTGCTTGCCAGGCAGGTGGCAGAACCACTGAGCTAAATCCCTGGCCCTTAGCTTATTTTTTTGCACATACTCACATACTGTACTTATTTATTTAAATCCCTTTCCTTATTGTGTTATACACAAGAAACACAATGTACACAATAACATAAAATTACCTTTAATATTTTTTAGTACTAATCCATAATGCGTGTTGAGTAATCATCATCATCTACTTGCTAGAACATTTTCATCACCCCCAAAGAAACTATAGACATATTAAGCAAATGCTCCCTGTTTTCCCCTCTCTCAGTTGTTAATGTGCTTTCTGTCCCTGTGGGTTTGCCTCTTCTGAATTTTTTTTTTGGTACTGGGAAACGAACTTGAGTCCTTGCACTTGCGAGACAGGCGGCAGAACCACTGAGCTAAATCCCCAGCCCTTTTGAGTATTTTATGTACAGTTGTTTCTCAGTATCCATGAGGAATTGGTTCTAGGACCTCCATAGATACCAAAATCTGCAGATGTTCAAGTCCCTTACATTAAAAATGATGTAGTATTTGCATCTAACCTACTTACATCCTCTTTATACTTTAATTCATCTCTAGATTACATATAGTACGTCTTACAATGTAAATGCTATGTAAATCATTGTTATACTGTGTTGTTTAGAGAATAATGACAAAGGGGGAAAGTCTATATGTGTTCAGTATATTTTTTTCTTTTGGCAGTGCTGGGGATTTTTTCCCCCAAATATTTTTTATCTGCAGTTGGTTAAATCCATAAATGTGGGACCCACAGATATGGGGGACCTACTGTAAATGCAATTATACAATATGTGGTCTTTTGTGTGTGTGGCATCTTTCACATAACATAGTATTTCCAGGGTTCACCTATAATGCAGCATGTGTCAGTACATCATTGCATTTTATGGCTGAATACTGCTCCATGTTAAGGAGATAGTGTATTTGACTTACCCATAGATCAGTGGATGTACATTTGAATTGTACCTTTTGGGGGGGGGGGTACCAGGTGAGTTGTACCTTTTCACTATGCTGCTGTGAATAGTACCACTGTGAACATTCAGGTATACTTTTTAAAAAACACCTGTGTCCATTTTTTTGGCAAATATACTGAAAAGTGGAACTGCTAGATCTGGCATTCTGTTTAATGAAGAAATAAATGTTACACTTTTTGTTTTTTTTAATGTAGCACAGGCTAGATTCTAACTATGTAGCTTAGGCTGGCCTCAAACTCATGATCTTCCCCTCACAATCTTCCTCCCTCAGACTTCTGAGTATTAGGATTATAGTCAAGTGCCTGGTAAAAATCTTTGTGAACAGCATATAGAGATATAAGTAGCTTTATCTGTTTCTTTGAATACCTTCATAATATTTCATCACATGGATGACTGTGCAACATACCAGAGCAATGAAAATATTTGTACTATTTTTAGTATATTTAGACTTATACGAACTAGAATACTTCAAGTCTTCACACTATTTAGACGTGATTATTGAATACAGAGATGCCTGGTTTTTCATGGCTTAAATAAAATATATCAGTAATTTTTTAAAGTGAAATTGTATTTCACAACATCATCCTTGTAATTTGAGAACAGCAATAGAGCAGAGCATGCAATACTATTTGTTGGGTCTATTGCCACACTTGATGTTGGATTTGAGAATCCCTTGGTGCAGGTGTGACTACCCTACCCATTGGTCCAGGGCCTAGAACTTGAGAGCCAGTGGCTCAGCAAGAACAGTAGTTTTTTTTCTGAGTTTGTTTAGAGATGGGAAAGAAGTGAGAGGCTTGTGTCCTGGCAATACATACACTGCAGGAGGAAACTATGCAGTAAGTAAGTGGTGAAGTTTGGAATTGAACCAGGTAATCTCATTCTGAAGCCCTCAGTTCTAAACCTCGTTAAAAAAAAAAAAAAAATATATATATATATATATATATACACACACACACATATATATACATATATATATATGAGACAATATCTTGTTCATGTCTGCGTTCTTAGTCACAATTCGCTGTGACTCTTTCAGTTTATTGAATTGTCAAATGAAATGTTATTGTTGTCCTTAACCTTGTAATTTATACCATAAGTTTACATCATCACAGTTATTGTTCTTTCTGATTCTCTTAACTGTATGATCTTACTGCCCTTATTAAATCACCAACATAAAGGAAAGAGTCAGATAAAAACTGAGTGCCTTCCAAGTGCAAAGAACTTAGTTGCCTGTGGGGCAGTTTACCAAAACTTGGTGTGCATCAGACTCATCAGGAAGTTGCATTCTTGAAAGCTATTTCTCCTTTCCTAATTAAATGAAATCTTCAGAATGTGAGATAATCTGTGTTATTAAATGTCCCCCGTAATCCGTAAGTACCCAGCCTGTCCTGTAAGAACTGGTGTGGGGGTTGCTAGACATGGAAGGCTGTACATGGGCAGCAGCTGCTTAGGTTTAGATGAAAAGAAGCACCGGCTAGGTGTAAACAGCAGTTCATAACAAGAGAGTAAAGAGCCACTATATCGTTAATAACCAATTGTCTTAGTTACTTTTCTCGTTGCTGAGACAAAATACCTGACACTCAAAAGTTAAAGGAGGAAAGGTTTATTTGGCTCACAGTTTGTAGAGGTTTCAGTCCATAGTTGGCTGGCTCCAAGGCAGGGTGGCTTGGCAGAGGGGCCTCCCAGAGGAGAAACAGTCCATGGCAGGCAGAGCGTAGCAAAACAGCAAGTAATAAGCAACAACAAGCAACAGCCCTCTTTCTGTCCCTTATATCCTATCCAGGCTACCCATCCTTAGAGTGGATAGCACTCCATCCTGTGGAGCAACCTTAATCGTAGTATCACACTCTGAATCAATCCTAGCATCACATCCTTAATCCCAGCACTCTAGATCCCCCCACTCCCCAAAGGCCCCACCTGTGAGCGCATGAATGTTTGGGAAGACATCTAGATGCAAGCTGTAACACCAAGAGAACTGCCCAGGCAGTGAAGACCACTGGAGTTGAGTGGAGAGAGAGTTACTTTAGGCTGAGCAAGACCGAGATACATGCTGGATCTGCCATGACTAGGGCGATCAGGCCTAGCAGAGAGGTGGGGAAAGTGTACGTACCCATTGCCAGGGGACCAGATCTGATGAAAAGATAAGACACAGGTGAGCCCTGGTGTCACAGAGTTCATGATATGTTGGATGTAGTTACACAGGTGTTTATCAAACATCTGGCAGGTACAATGAGAAATGGAATTTGAGCAAAAGGCAACATCAGAAAAATGAGAGAAATATTTTGGGGAATGAATATAGACCAGTTCAGCTTGAGCCAAAGATTTATGTAAGAGATTATTAAAAAATACTGGCTTCCAGGTCAGGGATTTAGCTCAGTGGTTCTGCTGCCTGCCTCAAAAGCACAAGGACCTGAGTTTGATTCCCGGTACCAAAAAATAAATAAATAAAATTTTAAAATACTGGCTTCTAAACTCAAAAGAAGAGATTATAAGGCTTGGAGCTTGATGGGAAAATCTTACAGACCAGGTAGCCTTCCATATACTTTTGCTCTCCTATTAACCCCCCCCCCCATTCTGTTTACTGAGTTACACTGTTTACTGAGTTAACAATGAGCTTAAAGGCAATTCTGTCATTCATAGGGGAAGTTGAAGAAAAGAAAAAATTCTAGCAACAAAGCTTGGGGCCAAACTGTACAGTTGTAAATCGGACTGTTCCCTTAGTTTTAATAATGTGAACAAGCCACCTGCCCTCTCCAGGTACCAGTTTCCTCATCTTTATGAGGTGTAGGACTTAGGTTTCTAAATATAGCAATGTTTAACAGCATCTGGAGCCAGAATGCCTGGGTTTGGAGTTTGTCTTTTCTTCTTACCAGCTATGTGACCTTGAGCAAGTCACTTCCACATCTCAGATTTCCGTCTACAAAATGAGGGTCCTATGCCCAGCCTGTGTTTGGGTTAGATTAAATAAGTAACTATGCTCTTAGGACAGTGCCTGGTACCAGTTAAGGGCATGGAAATGTTAACTATACCCCGTCCAGTTCTTGAAGTTTTGACGTGTCACCAGGTTTCCACTCTGAACCCTGAAACACAGGGATTACTAAAGAGGGCTCATAAAGAACTATAATTAAAATCAAGGACTTAGGGCCAGAGATTTAGCTCAGTGGCATCTCGCCTGCCTTGAAAGTGCAAGGTCCTGAGTTTGATCCCCGGTACCCCCAAAAAAAAAAAAAAAAATCAAGGACTTAGTTTTCCGATCTGCCATGACCACAACTATGACAGAATATGAGCTAAAGTTGGATGATACCTTTCACAATGGACATGTTGTACAGATGTTTCCTCCTGAAGTTGGTTTAGAAAGGCTATTATCCCTCGAACCTTAATTAAGAATAAAAATGTTAGAGTGTATGCTTGTTTATCCCAGGACTCTGGGAGGCTGAGGCAGAAGAATCACAAATTCAAGACCAACCTGAGTGACTTAGGGAGACTTCACCTCAAAATAAAAAATAAAAAAAGGACTGAAGATATAGCTCAGCCTGAAGGCCCTGGGTTTTATCCCCAGTACTGAAAAAAAAAAAAAAAGAATAAAAGCATTGGAATCTACTTACTGTCCCCCTGGGACTTAAGAATGATGACTAGACTGGTGCCATTGTTGTTACTTTATTATTTTTGTTTTTTCTTTTGCTGATAACATCTGACTGTTGTTTGGGCATATGCTTACTATAAAAATATACAGTGGAGTGCTCGCTTCAGCAGCACATATACTAAAAATATACAGTGGAAAATAAGAACCAAGAGAGTACGTAAAGGTGGATATCTCCAAAAAATATATATATAAACAGTGGGGCAGAGAATAATACAGTTGTACAATAGCCTACTTGTGCCTGAGGTTTGGAAGAGAGGACACCAAAGCTCAGCATTTCCTAAGCTAGAACAGTTGCTCATCTGTAGGACCCACTGAAAGAAGTTTTACCCAAGGACAGCTAGGCTTCAGAATTAGACAGGGTCAGGTAAAACAGGCCAAGATATAGATAGATAGATAGATAGATAGATAGATAGATAGATAGATAGATAGATAGATAGATAGAAAGAAAGATACCCCCCCCCCCCAGTATGGGGGATTGAACTCAGGACCTTGCGCTTGCGAGGTAGGTGTGGCACCACTGAGCTAAATCTCCAGCCTGTTTTTGTCCTCTGTGGAGTAGAATCCTTAATAAATAAAACAAATAAAAGCAGCAGTAATCTGCTCAGAGAGGCCCAGGTAAGTGGCCTGGGCTATGCCTTCTACCCTCATTCCTCGTTTATCCTGATCCTCCCAGGTTGCTTCTGAGCCACTTTCACAGAGCCCTAAGCTCATGGTTTAGAAGCCAGTGATGAAACTGATTGTGATAGCTGATGGCATATTATTTATTTTCCTTTAAAATTTTGGGAATTATATAGAAAACTCAGTCCTTGTGTTTTGCATCCTATAATTTGTTTTATGTTTATCGCTATCCACTGCTCCTGCTCCCTCTTTGCATGTACAGTACTCTTGCTCTAACCCTTACCATTTTATTTATATACTCTTGCAGAGATAGGATTAATCCAGGGGCAAGTATGCCCAGCAGCTCTCCACTTGTTGAAAAGAAAAACCTTTTTATCATGAACGAGAACTGGATTAAAGTCTGTATTTTAAGCTGACTGTTTCTTTTCATTCATTAGATTTGTCTGCCTCTGCTCATTCCAAGGTGGTGATCTTCACAGTCAACTCTCTCGGTAATGCTGAGTCCTACCTTGATGTGGTGCAGAGCAACGTGGATATGTTTCGAACCCTCGTCCCTGCTCTTGCACATTACAGTCAACATGGCGTCCTGATCGTTGCGTCTCAGCCAGGTAAATGTCTTTATTTTAAATTAATTTGATGTTGCAGTGTGTAGTAGAATGGCCATTCCGGATAAAAGCCTGAAAACTTTAGAGTAGAGGCAGTAGATAGACTATTCAGTAAAACTGCTCTCATTCTGAGTAAAGTAGTATTTACATATCCTGTCAGCCAATTACTTAGTATGACTGTTATCAGCTGAAAGAGTACAACTTACAATTTCTTTGAAATGTGGTATTATGTTCTAGTTGTTAGCGATACCTTTTGCAGTGAGAAAATAGTTAAACCCCCAAAAGAAGAATTTAGTCATTTATATGAAAGATATTTTAACAGCTCTGAAATATTATAAAATGTTAGTGGACAGGGCAGCTCACATTTCTAGCATTTTGTATTTTGTAAACTTTTTTGAAAGTGTTTTACTTTTTTATTTTATTATTTTTTAATTAAATTTTATTTTAGGGGAAAGGATAGAAGGGAATGGGATTAATATGAGAAAATGGAAAAATAGGAACAAAATCTTTGTAAATAGGGAGGACTGGAGGGGTTGAAGGGAGGGCTGGGCAAGGGTGAAAAATAAGAACCAAGAGAGACTATGTAAAGGTGCAAATTTCCAATGATGAATGTCATTATATTGTATACCTAAAATGTACCAATGATTAGAATGAATAATCGATAATGTAAAATAGGAAGAAAAGGTCCAAAGGGGTAGGGGTAGTGGGAGGGGCAGGGGAAAGGAAAGAAGGGAAAGGAAAAATGATGAGAAATGGAAAAAATGGAAATAAAGTCTTTGTAAATAGGGAAGGGTGGAGGGCATGAAGGGAGGGCTAGGAATGGGGAAAAAATAAGAACCAAGATGCATCATGTAAAGGGACAATTCCCAAGGAGAAATGTAATTGTGTTGTATACCTACGATGTACCAATAAAAGAATTTAATAAAGTGCAAAAAAATAAAATAAAATAAATTTTATTTTAGCCCATTCCCCCCTCAAGCCCTCTCCCCTCCCTATGTATAAAAGCTTTGTTTCCATTTTCCTTCTATTTTCACTTTTTTCCTGTCCCTTTCTTTCTTTCTCCCTCCCTCCTCCCTTGTTCCCCTTCCCATTTGAGCACTTTCTTCCCATTTCCCAACATCCATTATGCATTTCAGTCAAAAAGGAATGTTTTTAAAAGGTTAGATGGTATTGGACTCAAATAGGTGGACAGATTTTTAAAAACTTCCCAATAGAAGGTTAGGATATGCATTGCATTTGTTTTCCATAGTAATCAGTTGAGGGACTTTGGTCTCTTTAACCCTGACACCTTTTTGGCATGAAAGAAAATTTTTGTTCAAAAGACTATACTTCATAGTGGTGGTATATGAATCAATATTTTTATTTATTTTTGCTGCACTGGAGATCAAACCCAGGGCCTATCTGCCACTGAGCTCCATCCCCAGCCCTTTTTATTTTTTATTTTCAGATAGGGTCTCACTAAGTTGCCCAGGCTGGCCTCTAACTTGGGATCCTCCTGGATCACTTCTCAAGTAGCTGGGCTTGCAGAAGTGTGCCTTCATTCCTGACAATATTTTAATTTAATTGGTTGGGGCTTGGGGCTTTTTTTTTTTTTTCTTTTTTTGGTACCAGGGATTGAACTTGGGACCTTGTGCTTGCAAGAATATTTTAATTTAAAAACAGGGCCAGGGGACCAGGGATTTAGCTCAGTGATTCCACTGCCTGCCTTGCAAGCACAGGGACCCGAGTTCGATCCCCAGTACCAAAAAAAAAGGGCTGGGGATTTGTCCCGCCTGCCTCACAAGCACAAGGTCCTGAGTTCAATCCCCAGTATCAAAAAAAAGAAAAAAAAAGAACCCCCAAAAACAAAAAACAGAAACTAAGCTTAACATAATTACAAACTAGAATTCATCAGTGAAATGTAATTATTATTTTCTAGCTTTCTGTACCCAGTTTTTACCTTCCTAGTCTAGAAAATTACCTGTTTTCCACTCTAACAATTTATATTTATAAACAACAAAATTGTGTAAAATTTCTTGAACCCTGATTAGTGTATTTAATAGATGTTAAAAAGATGCCTCAGTACATTTAGGGACCACGGCGAGTGTACAAAAGCTCTAATATACTTTACTTATTAAAATAATAAATATTTTATTTGTGAGATAGGCTAGAAGTATATTTTTAAAATCTTTTCATTTTTACCTTTTATGCAACATTTAGTGGAAATCATGACTTATGTGACATGGAAACTGAGTACATTTCCTGCAAATCAAGTGATTGGAATTGGATGTAATCTGGACTCACAGAGATTACAATATATTATCACAAACATTTTGAAGGCACAGACTTCCGGCAAAGAAGTATGGGTTATTGGTGAGCAAGGAGAAGACAAAGGTAAGAAGTACATTTTGATTAGTTATGCTGATAAATCACCAGTGGTCATGGAATTAGACATCTGGGGATTTAGAAATGTGAGCTTAGTTGACTTTTGTGTCGCATTTGATGCTTTCCGTATAACAGGCCCTGTACTGTACATACATAGAGCCTTCACAAGTATTAGTCTCATTATGTTACTTTTCCTCAAGCTTAAGGTTAGGCGAGACCCCTTAGTCAAATTTTATATTTTTTAATTAATTAGAGTGCAAGATCGATTTACAAGTTTAATTTACCAGAAAGAAATATTTAAATCTACCTAGAGCTTTTACAGAACTTTTCCCATCACTCATCTACCCTTCAACTTTGCTTACCTTTACTAAGTTCAGACCTTTTCTCTAGATACAAGGTTCTTACTTTTTCAAACTGAATTTTCACATTGTTTATCCTTACAGCCTTTTTAACCAGGCTTTGCTTTCTCTCTACCACAAAAAGCATTCAGTTTCAGTTCCATAGATGGAAAAGCCCCTTTTCCTATCCCAAAAGAAAACTTTCCCTAATTGACTTGAAAATCTCTTTCTTTCCTTCTTTATTGTTTCATGTTACAAAGCCAGGTTGGTCAGGTGATAAAAGTGCTATTTCCTCTCATGTTGTCCATTTTTATTCATTTAAACAAGTAGATGAGTTTATCTGCTGTCTACTCAGGACTGTACTAGATGCTAGTGTGATAGGAAAGAGGCATAGAACGCAGGCTCTGCCCTCATCGTACTTTAAACAAATAAGAACAATATTTATCATATATTTTAGTTAACAATAAGGTATAGGATACTACTTGTTAACTGCCAGTATGAATATTACTGACTTAAGAGCATTTGACATGGGTTGAAGTCACTAGGAAAAAAATCTAAAAGCCATCATTGAGTTGGACTTCTGAAGATTGAATAGGATTTGAATAGCTAGCAAAGAGTGGGAAAGACACTTCAAGAATGGGAAATCAGCTGGGGATCTAGCTCAGTGGTTCTGGCGCCTGCCTCACAAGCACAAGGTCCCAAGTTCAATCCCTGGTACCGAAAAAAACCAAAACTCAAACATGGGCCAGGGATTTAGCTCAGTGGTTCCTCTGCCTGCCTTGAAAGCGCAAGGTCCTGAGTTTGATCCCTGGTACCAAAAAAAAAAAAAAGGGAAATCAGAAACAGGCAAAGACACATGGTTAGCTGGGGATTTAGCTCAGTGGTTCCGCCGCCTGCCTCGTAAGCATGAGGTCCCAAGTTCGATCCCCAGTACCAAAGGAAAAAAAAAAAAAGACACAAATGGTTAAGTAGGCCAGGTTCATATATATTTTTTAAAATCTGGACTAGTTGCACAGGGTTTCAACCAGATAAGCCTGGTTAAAATCACATTTTGTTGATCTTTGAATACCTGATCAAAGAATTGGAAGGTGATTCTCAGGCATCGAAGAACCATGAGAATGAAATGTTGAAAGGATAATTTGAAAGGGGGAAATTAATTACTTCATCATTTGAAGTTATTACTATTACTTTATTTGGCATGGAGGTGCCCTGGTTAGAGCATTATGTAGGAAATCACCTCTCTGCCTACAAGGAGGTAATTGAGAACTGGAGAAGGACCATGCATGTTAAAAAATTAAATAGTTCTTTTAGTGCTTTTTTTTTTTTCTTTTGGTACTGGGGATCGAACTCAGGACCTTGCGCTTGCGAGGCAGGTGGCAGAACCATTGAGCTAAATCCCCAGCCTTAAACAGCTCTTTAAAAAAAAAAATTAAATAACTATCGAACCATAATGCCGCAATGCAAATCACCTTCTCAAAAACCATTTTCTTGGAATATATACTATGTATGCTTTGTATATCTACTTTAATCCCATTAAAAATATTAACAGTGGTGATATCTAGATTAGATATAACTTTTTTTTTTTTCTTGTACCAGGGATCGAACTTGGGACCTTGAGCTTGCAAGGCAGGTGCCAGAACCACTGCACTAAATCCCCAGTCCTATTAGATATAACTTTTTAAAATCTGCTTTTCTACATTTTCTAATTTTGTTAAATGGATAGGAAGTACTTACATAATTTTAAGAACATCAAAAATATAACTATTTTAAACATGTATAAATCTGCATTATCTACTTAGAAAGTTCAGTGCTAACATGAGTCAGGCTACAAAATAAACCCTTTTAAACATGACTGTGATTGAATGGAAATACTTTTCAGGATCCATTGTTCCGTGACACTAAACACTAATCATTAGGTCCTAGAAAAGGGTAGCAAACAAGAAGTTGGAGTCAATATATTAGAGTAATTAATGTCTGGGGATTCAAACAAACCAAAGACCCTGAGTTTTACTCACTGCTACCACTCAAGCTCTGGCCCGATGGTCTCTTGCTTGCTTGGTGATTTTGTAAATCTCCCAATGAGTCTGCTTCTCTTCCTGTCTACCCTGGAAGGTGAAACTAATGATACTAGCTAAAACTTACAGTGCTCATTGTATGCGCTCACATTTTAATTCAGTCTTCCTAAAACATTCCTCTTTGCAGACACTTTCAGGGCCTTCCTCTAAGCAAACCATTAAATTCCTTTGCTCTGCAGTCAGGGAGCCTAAATGTAGCTCTAATCCTCCTTCGCAATTATAGTTACAGAGGCAGCCATGGGATTGTAAAATGGAGAGGAACCCAAGAGATCAGCGGTTTCCTTTTGTTTTAGGGAGTGAGCAGTGGCTGCAGGGATGATAAGAGGAATCTGCCTAAGAGCCTATAGCGTTTAGGCCTAGAATCCAGGTCCAGGGACTCCTAGGACCACCTCACAGCTTCGCTTCAGCCATGAGACTTCCCACCCACTGCCTTTACCTCCCTTCCCTACCCCGTCTTTCCTCATATATCCAGTCTCATCCTTCAAAGTCTAAGTCAAGGCCCACACACACCCCTGAAGGTTTTCCTATCACATCACTCTACAGTGATTTATTCATTCCACTGAGCTAAAATCAATTGCCATTTCTATGGCAATTCTGTCTTGGGAGCTCAGATAGGATCTAGAAATAGAGGATGCAGGCCCACATAAATTGAGATTACTTAAATACAGTATTCTGTAATATTTGACATAATGTGTATGTAAGTTTTAAAACATAATAGCCAGGAGTAGTGGTGTGTACTTGTAATCCCAGCACTTCATAGGCTGAGGCAGGAGGATCACCTCGAGTTCAAGGCCAGCCTGGACTACATAGTATGGTCCTGCCTAAAAAAAAAAAAAATAAAAACAAAAACAAAAAATCATAATAGAATACACACTCAAGAATCTCCACTCAGTCAACATTATCAGTACCACTGAAGCCAGCTGTACCTCTCTCCAGTCTGTCTTCCTGCTTGTCATCTAGTAGTACCTGAGATCACCTCTTCCCCTGGACTTTGCAGTGCTGGGGATCAAACCCAGGGCCACACAGGATCCCAGGGTCTTCTGCATGCTGGGCGAGGACCTCACTGCTGAGCCATACCGCCAGTCCTCAGATCACTTTTATTTTGCTTTTTTTTAATTGAGACTGGGTCTTGCTATGTAATTCAGGCTGGCCTCGAACTCACTGTGTAGCCCAGGCTGGCCTCGAACTTGCAGCAATCCTCCTGCCTCAGCCTCTCGAGTGCTGGGGCTACAGCATGCGCCACCACACCCAGCCTCAGATCACTTTTTATCCTGTCTTCTGCTCACGCTTTAGACTGTTCCATCCATAGATAGGTTCACTAAGCGAGAAGTGGAGTCGAGGCTCCCTCTGCTGACTTTGTGTGTAGGATATTTTTGCGTAAGTGATACCATCATAGCAATCACTTGAGATAATTAATAATTATTATAATTATTTTTAATAAGTGCCAGCTATGTATATTAAAGATTTCACATGCAGGTCTTCCGCATCTCATTTAAATTTTTAAAATTCTTTGTAAAGGAGGAGGTATCTTTCCAGATTTATAGGCGAGGACACTGAAGGTTCAGTAAGGCTATGTAATGTGCCAAAGGTCACATATCCAGGAAGAGCAGCACCGAGAACTGGGCCCTGGCCTGACTAAAGCTGTGCTCTTTCTTGCTGTCACTTAATTAGATAATTTTATTTCAAGCCATTAATACAGTGTCTGGCACAGACTAAACACTCAGCAGTATTATTACAGGATTGACAAGATGGTGATAGAAATTTGCCAACAAAATTGGCAAAAGGACATGTAAAACTATGCTTTGAAAGAAAACAGCATTAGGATTTAGAGACAGTTGTAAAACTAGAAGTTGTACAAGTAAAATCATTCTTTTCAAGTTGTCAGAGACAGACAATAGCTGCAGCCTGGGAGGAATTCCATGGCGCACAGGACACTTAGGATCTAGCTTCTGCGTCCCCTCAGCTTCATCATCTGCCTTTTGCTGGGCATTCTGTGCCAGTCAGAGAGCCAGCTGGCAAGAAGTGTAGCAAACGCTACACTATCACACCATTGGTGGAAAAATAACTGTTGCTAAAGGGGGAAAACGCCCATAAAAAGACTAATACAGGTACCCTTCAGTGCAAAAGATCATTTATTGCATCTTAATCCTAAAAGAACCACTGACAAACTATAATTAATTCTTCATTTCGTTTTTAGTGCCCACATGGGGTGGACAAGAAGTAATAAATCACAGCTCTCGGGTACAGCTGTCCAACAGGTAACACAGTACAAATATGCATGTATCAACTAAAAATCATGTACTTCATAGCAAACCTAACAGCTGTTTCCATACCATGTACTTACCAGGCTTTGGAAAACAAAACCAGATAGTATGGAGAACTCCAGCAAAAGTATAAGGGGGTGGGCTGGGAATTTAGCTCAGTGGTTTCAGTGCCTGCTGCACAAGTGCAAGGACCCGAGTTCAATCCGCGGTACCAAAAAAAAAAAAAAAAAAAGTATAAGGGGGCAGTGTTTTATCATCTCTGATTTCTTGTCTGAAGAGAGATCCAGAGGTGCTTTGCAGACTTTTCCAGATAACACAGTAGACATCTGAAGGGCAGGACATACATACTCCTTACTTGTAGACAGTGATTTCCTTCCGTTTCTGACCTTCTGAAGATAGTATTTTTCCTAATGTGGAAGGGAATTTGTCAATACCCACTTAAAAATTAAGAGTTGTTCATCACACATAGATACAGGATTTGGGAATCAGTGTAGTGTGAGTGAATAAGCTGTGTCATATGCGCAGGGGAAAAGGAAATTCACAGCTCCTTGGATCCGTTGCCATTATTTCGAGCCCTTCCGGAGGTCTGTGCCACAGGTTTCATTTCCCATACTGTGCATTTTCATGTCATTTGTGGTTTCACCTTCACATAATAACAAATTCTTCTGAAGTCTGAGTGGGGTGACGTTTAGCTTTTTATTTTTTTTTATTTTGTTTTATTTTTAAAATTTTTGGGGGGTACGGGGGATCGAACTCAGGACCTTGAGCTTGCGAGGCAGACAGCGGAACCACTGAGCTAAATCCCCGGCCCCCACTTTTAGCTTTTTAAACAGCTAACGTATGGTTTTTACAATATAACAACTGGAAAGAAGGTTCTCTTTTTTTATTGAGAAGTGTGTGATGTAATTCATTCCAGTCTGATTAAATACTCTTGCATGTATCGGTTTTTGTTTATTTATGGATCTGGTGGTGCTAGGGATTAAAAACCCTGGGCCTCAAGTGTGCTGTGCACACACACTGCCACTGAGCCATATTCCCCATAGTTTTGTGGGTTTTTTTGGTACCGGGGCTCAAACTCTGGTCCTTGTTCTTGTGCAGCAGGCACCGAAACCACTGAGCTAAATCCCTGGCCCATCCCCATAGTTTTTATAAGGAATAAATTTAAGTGATTGTTTATATTTTTTTAATAAAAATAATATAGGCTTATTATAAAGCATGAAATACTGTAGATACTTATAAAGTAGAAAGGAAAAATCTAGGGAAACTCCATTTTCCGGAGACAACCACTGCTTAGTGTCCACATGTCCTCAAAGGTTCTTTTAGTGTTTTTCTAAATATGTTATTTTTATAATAGATTTATGCTACCCATACTGTCTTGCAACTTGATTCTTTAATAAGATTTAGATATCTTTCTATATTGTGCATGTGAATCTACCTCCTTCTCCTCCCACAAAAGGGTACTGTGGATTGAACCAGAGCCTTAGTGCTGAGCTACATTCCCAAGCCCGCCCTGTCTTCCTCTGTCGGTCCACGAATCCCTTCCCTCCTCCCCCCTCCCCTCCCTTTCTGTCTTTGTTCTTCCTTTCATCTTTCTTTTCAGCAGGGTCTTGCTAAGTCACTAAGTTTTCTTACTTAGGATCCTGGGCTCCTACTTGTCGATCCCCTGCCTCAACTTCCCAGAGCTAGGATTATAAGCATGCATCGCCATGCCCAGCTCCTTTTCTTTTAGGAGTTACATGATACTGCATATGCTTATTCATATATCTTTGCACACTTGAACATACTTCTGTAGGATAGATTCCTAGAAAAAGGAATTTCTAGATCAGATATTGCCAATCATCTTCCTGAAAAGTTAAATCACTTTATACTCTCAACAGCAGTTATGGGTATGCTTGTTAGCTTTCTCTAAATGAGTTAATAGTATCAGTCTTCATCTTTGCCTATGTTGATAGGCAAAACTGATATTTATTGCTTTAATTCATATTTAGTTAAATGTTTGGAATGGTAAATGTCTTGCTTACTTTTTTCATTGCTGAGACATAATACCTGATACCCACAACAAGTTGAAGGAGGAAAAGTTTATTTCAGCTCAGTTTGTAGAGGTTTCAGTCCATAATCAGCAGACTCCAAGGGAGGATGCTATGGGAGAGGGGCACTGCAGAGGAGAAACAGTCCATGCATGGCAGGTAGAAGGCTGCAAAGCAACTTTCCCTTTTATCCCATCCTGGCTACGGGCCTCCTTCTTTTTTTTTTTTTTGGTACCAGGGATCAAACTCAGGTCCTTGCACTTGTGGGGCAAGCATCGGCACCACTGAGCTAAATCCCCAGCTACAGGCCTTTTGATTGGTCCCATTATCCACATCCAGAACTCTGCAAAACCAATCGGAGAACTAATCTAGTACCACACACCCTTAATCCCAGTATCACACCCCCTAGATCCAGTTGCAAAGCCCCACCTGTGAGTGCATGAGTCTTTGGGGGAACATCTGGACACAAGACATAACAGTGAGCATCTTTTTTGTGTTTTTAGGGCATTTGCATTTTCTCTTTGTGAACTGCATATCTGACATTTTAAGAAAAGCTTAAATAATCATTATAAGCCTTCCTAATAATTGCTATATGTCTTATTTTCTTTGTCATAAAAATAATATCTTAAAACACTATGTAAGCATGCCTATACACCTAGCACTTGGGAGGCCGAGGCAGGAGGATATCCTTGAGGTCAAAGCCTGGGCTACACAATGAGTTCAAAGCAAGTTTGAAGTACATAATGAAACTCTGTCTCAAAACAAAACGAAAGAAAGAAAAGAAAGAAGAAAAAGCACACAAACAGGATGTGAAACTAAATGGTGTATGTTTTGTGCATTTTCTGAGATTATGTTTTTTTGTAACCTAGAGCCGTGGAACTGTTAAGGGTAAAAGGTCAGAGATCCTGGTCTGTGGGACTGTCAGTAGCTGACCTGGTTGACAGTGTCATAAACAATAAGAAGAAAGTGCATTCCGTATCCACTTTAGCAACGGTAACTCTTTTCATATATTAATATAAAACTAGCCAAACTGCTATTTACACTCTAACCCACATGTCCTCAGCTTTTGGAGTAAGATGGGGAGGAGGCACTTTAATCCAGCCTTGTCCTGCTTAGCTGTGGCCTGCTTAGCTGGCCTTTACCTACCTTCATGTAGTTTTTGAGCATCCCCAAGAAGTGTTTATATATCCCATAAACTGCTTCTGGTTGTCATTTATCACCTCAGCCAGCCACGTCACCCCAGACTGATTTGCTAACTGGTTTTACCTGGTCATCAGTCTACTTCGGCAGTTGTCTTTTATCACTCTAGCTAGAGCATAAATTCCTTAAAGCACAGCTAAGATGAGGTACGAATGCTCATCAAAAGTTTCCTGAATATTTGGACTATCTGGGGGAGAAGGGATACAACATTAAAGAAAAATGTCAACGAGGCTGCTGTATTTGCACCAGGCTGTGCGCAACCCCAAGGAATTCATCATTTTTCATTCAGTCCATCATTTTTCTTTTTTTTTTTTTTGGTACCGGGGATCGAACTCAGGACCTTGTGCTTGCGCAGCAGGCGATGATGGCACCACTGAGCTAAATCCCTGGCCCCTAGTCCATCATTTTTCTTAGTCCTCAACCTAACCATATTGCAGCTAGCTTACCTCCCTACAAAGGGAGTATCTTTGACTAAGTTCTATCTATCTCTCAAAAAAAATTTTTTTTTTTAATTTTTGGAAATAATTTGAGTTTAGAAAATAAACCCAAAAAATTAGACTTAACTTGTTATCATTTTGTACTAGAACTAGAAAAACAAGCAAGCATGTGTTTTTATGATTTAACTTTGTACGGTGATTCAGCTCTATTATATCCCCATTCTTTAATTTCAGGGATATTATGATATAAATAGTGAAGTGTTTTTAAGTTTGCCTTGCATCCTCGGAACCAGTGGGGTATCTGAAGTCATCAAAACTGACGAGAAAGAAGTTACAGTGACTGAGAAACTCCAGAGCAGTGCATCCTCAATCCATGATCTCCAACAACAGTTAAAACTTTGATTTTCAAACACTGCTACCTGAAAGGAAAAGTCATTTAATTTCACCAACATATATAGGTTTGAAAACTTCTGTGTCTTTTATTTATCTTTACAAACTGTTTGGTTAAAGTAGATAGTTTCTTGGTTAGTTCTGTAATTTAAATCCTTAAAGAGTTAGATAAGGAAGGGGAAAAAAATCTATTTAGGGGAGGTTCTTGACAAATCTGTATTCTTTTTTTTGTTTGTTTTTTGGTACTGGGGATCGAACTCGGGACATCGCACTTGTGAGGCAGGCGATGGAACCACTGAGCTAAATCCCCAGCCCACAAATCAGTATTCTTTAAACCTATAGCTGGGATAAATATTCACCTGTTGTGTGCATCATTTTAAATTTTGTATTCTAAACTTAAAGCACATTCAGCACTTTGGAAATATCCTGAAAAAAATACATTTATAATAAACATGATAAGCTGAAGGCCCAGGATGGGCCTTACTTACAAAATTCAGAAGATTCATAATGTAGGGTATTTATTTCTTTTGCAAAATACAGTTGGTAGAATAGATAAGCATTTTGTTTTCCTCCTTCAAATTCATTAATTACCAAAAACTAGAAAATAATTTTGTATGTATTTAAAAATAATAAAAGGGAAAGTAAAACTTTTTAATATTATAAAGAAAAAAGTATTTATAATGGAATTTCCTTTCTGAAATTTTCTATAACTTCTTCCTCAGCCATATAAGATCCCCAACATGTCATAAATTTACTGTGATATAACTAAAGCATAAATAAATGTGCATTTTACTCTGAATGAAAGTCAAGCAGTTTATTTTGAAGTCAATATATGAGGCTTTCATAAAAACCATTGGTCTTAAGGGAGAGAGGTTGAATGGACTGATGGTTCTGAGGAAACCCTTTATCATTCCAGAAGAAGGATTCAGAACACATAGGCTTTGTGTTGATCGATCAATAGCAATATTTTCACCAGGCGCTAGCGGTGAATATGCCTGGACTGGGTACAAGCCCTCCTGGTCCTTACAGTCCACTGTGGTAAACACAGTAATCAAATCTCACAAATAAATGTCATAAATATTGTGAAGAAATCCAAAGTGTTTTGGAAACATGTAATAGGTGAAACAGTCTGGCCAGGAAGATATGAGCCAAATAAGGGCAGACATATCATAGGTAGAGAAGAAATAGACCCAGAAATGCTTAGTGTAATAATTGCTAGTTGTAATGATGAACTTACACTAAGTGGAAGGTGAAATTCAGTATCCCATGTTTAAGAAAGTATAAAAGTAATATGCTTGGAAAGAGTCACACCGATTTTACTGGATAAAAACCTTGGACATTTGGGCTGGGGATGTAACTCACGAGTAGAACATGTTCCTTACATATGCAAGGCTCTGGGTTCAGTCACCAGCCCTGCAAAATGAACAAACTGTGGCTATTTGAAGAAATAAACATTAATTCTATCCTTTTACCCTGTTACCTCCTGTTATCACCTCTCTGTTACTCTGTGTATACTGACTGTCCTTTTGTATGAAATAGGAAAGTAAAACTAAAAGAATAATTTTTTGTGTTTTTTTAAATAGCCTCTTCCAATAAGGTGTAATTAGAAATTTGATAATTTCTAAAATCAAATTAATATAATCTTGAACTATAATCTAGCTGTAAAATATTATAGTATAATAGGTGAAATGCCAAGAATTCACTACATTAATTATAAAGGAAACATGTCAACAAATATTTATTGAGCACCTACTATTATTCCAAATATTATGTTAGAATCTGAATATTCAGAGATGACTATTAGTCCTTACCCCCCAGAAGGCCACAATATCTAAGTCATTCTCTGTGTCAGGCGTTTACTTGAGTATTAAGTGTTAGCAATTATGTTGTGAGTTCCATATATGTTAAGAAGCTGTATCACTTCACTATGATTTAGTGATTATTTTAACACTCCCAATGTTTCTATTTAACTTTTTCATTTTTCCAAAATCATGCAGTGCCTCTTGTTATGTTTTTAAGTGGGCCTTGGATTAAAACTTTTTTGATATTGCAGATATTTTTTATTTTCCAATTTGCCTTGTTTTCCTTAAATATGAAAAATAATGAATAAAATAAACTTGATTTTAAAATCACCAGATCATGCCTGACTTATTAAATGAAATTTAATTCAGATTGAGACTTTTTTCCTATAATTTATTCAGAACTCAGGATGTTTAATTATTTGAAGTGGTGTGCAAAATGACGATTGGATTTTTATCAGTCATTTTTAAGGTTTAAAAAATTATTTTAGCAAGAAAATATTTTAAACATTGTTATTACCTGGTACCCCTCCAATTTATAGAACCAGAGTTGCTCTAATTAAAAGTACTTCTGGAGGGCCCGGGATTTAGCTCAGTGGCACTGCACCTGCCGCGCAAGCTCAAGGTCCTGAGTTTGATCCCCAATACCAAGGGAAAAAAAAAGTACTTCTAAGATGTGGCTTCAAGACTATTTTGAACAGCTTGCTTTTTAAGCAATATAAAACAGCAAGTACAGTGGAAGGATAGACTGGCCATTTGGTTTTACTGGAGCTAATAATGGTCATTCAAGAATAATGAGATTTCGATCCCTGGTACCAAAAAAAAAAAATGGATAGTGGGGGGCTGGGGATTTAGCTCAGTGGCACCGTGCCTGCCTCACAAGTTCAGGGTCCTGAGTTCAATCCCCAGTACCAAAGAGAAGAAGAAAAGAAAAAAAGAATGGCTATTGGAATAGCTTTATTTGTGTGTGTGAGCAACCATTTATAATAAGACCTTTCACATGGTTTCACTTCTTCCCCTCTGTGGCTTCACGTATGCCTGATGCCTGTTTAGAAAGGAATCATTACCATGGTTTTCTCATTAGGCTATACTATAACCATCCAAATTTAATATTCTCAAACCTAATCTTTAGGATACTTTGATACTCTGCTTATAAAACTGGTGACATGGAATAATGATAACTAATGTAAGTCACCACAATGAGCCTTGATTCGATATGTTTGGGGGGGGGTACTGGGGATCGAACTCAGAACCCTGCATTTGCAAGACACGCGGCAGAACCACTGAGCTAAATCCCCAGCGACAGTGAGCTTCTACTGAAAATTGAAATTCAAGATCGAGGACCTAGTTTTGCACTCTGCAGAACACTAAAGATCTGAAATAAGCCTGGCCTGTAGAACTTGGACTTTAATGGTGAACAGGCTAGCTCACAAATACAAGGCACGGTTAGAAAGCATCCTGTATTATTTATGTATGGGTACACAGAAGTTCTGATTTAGGGAAAGGTATCCTGCGTCGGACATTTATGTCTGGTTTCCTGAGAAACGAGGGATTTCTACACTAGGACCATACAAATGTAGTACGAAGGACTTTTAAGCTTTAAAACAAAACAAAAACATGTTACTACCAAAGTAACCTTGGGCATCTTCCTAATGCAAGCTTCTCATAGAGATGAGGAAAACTTAACACCCGAGCTAGAAGTGCATTCATTTACTATTTTCACAAGGCCAAGTCGAGGCAGGCGGTTCCTCAAGAGGACAGGCCTTCCACTTCATCACTCGGTCGGTCGTTTACTTCCTCCCTGCGCCTGCTTCCTGAGTCTAAACGTGATGTGAAATAGCTGCTAAAGCTCACCCCAACCCAGAGTTTCGACCTTTGGAACGGGCTTGCTCTATCTTTCGGACCCAACTGGTTCCCGCACACCAGCAGCTGGTGGGTCTGAACCCACTCCCCGCGCAGCCTAGCTCGCTTAAGGTGTCCACCTGTCTCCGCCGGACTACAGCCTCGGAAGTGACGTGCCCGTGCCGGAAGCGGAAGTGCTGCAGTAGCGCTGACTTCCTGTTAGCAGTGGGGGGGGTGGGGGGCTGGCCACTTGGTGTGCGATTGTCTGGGGCGGCCTGGGGCGGCCCCGGAGCGGCTGACCCTCTGCCAGCGGGGACGCGAGTCGCCGGGCGCCGTCATGGCGATGTCGGAGAGCCAGCTCAAGAAGATGGTGTCTAAGGTGAGGCTGCGGCGAGCTCGCCGTCCCGCGCGTGCCCACCGCTCCCTTCCGTTCCCGGCCCGGCCCGGCCCAGCCCAGCCCCGCGAACCTCCCGGGCGGGCCGGAACCCCAGCGCCTTCCCCTCCCGCCGCCGCCGCCGCCGAGGCCCCCAGCCGGAGCCTGTAGCCTTCGCACCCCGATATTCTGCGGGGAAAGTCGGGGGGCGGCGACCGTCAACAAAGGCGCCGAGCAGAGGCCGCCCGCCCGCCTGCCACCTGCCGCCCGCCCCCTTCTCTCTGAGGGAGTTTGGCGGTGTCTGGGGCGGTAGAGTTTAGGTCTTAAATGTTCTAAACAAAAAGAGAGTGCTACTTACTTTCTGGCCCGAGGCAGTTCACTCCAGCCCCAGTCTGGGGACCCGACATCCTTCGCCCTCCCTTCGCTGCCCCGAGATCACGGCCCCTTCCGTTTTGTATTCCCCACGTCGCGCAGCAGCCGGCCCGCGGGAGGGCAGTGCCTAGCGGTTGAATTGACTCAGTTCAGTGAAACGGCCAGAGAACCCAAAATGCCAGACTCTCACTACCCCAGGTGGAATTAATGGGATTCATTATTACCATCCCAGGGTGTGGTAACCCTTCACTAACACTCCTATTGTACGCTTCTTGTGTCACGTATTTATTTACTCTGAGTTTACTGTACAGTCCTCACAGCTCGACTGCTGCATTTTTTTCCTTGCTTAAAAAGCAGGCGTTTTGTATTTTAAAGCCATGATTTAATTTGATAATTCAAATGTGATACCACTGTGGAATGGCTTTCCTTTTGTTTGTTGTGACTTACCAAATCTACTTGGAATAAGGTACATGTGGGAGTTGAAAGCTGAGTCTTAAAACGGGCTAGTTTTGGATACGTTTGTCAAAGCAAGAATGGTAGAAATTCAGCCTAAGTGGGTTTCAACTTATACACGCTATTATGTAGAAAAGTTTTTCTAAAATAGACTTTTCTAGTAAAATCGTCCCCATGGTTCTTGGTTGAAGATTAGTTAACCTCTTAAGAGAAAGTGTAAGTTTCCAAAGAAAACACTTCCTGGTTGTCCATCCATATCTTCTAGGCTTCTCTGTTTGGTGCTGGGAATTGGAGCCCTCGTGTATGTTAAGTGCATACTTTAGCGCTGAGCTACGCCGCCTTCCCAGTTTTGTTTTATTTTTAAGTAGTTATCTTTAATTGTAGAGGAGATTTGGGGGAGCCTCAGATAGTGGCCCAGGTTGTGACATATATCACTTTTTGAAAAACAGCATTTTGTTTTAGGTACTTTATAACTGAAGACGAACTGATCCGTGAAGATTGACATTTAAATTGATAGCACAGCCATTAAAAAGTTTAATACTTAATGTATATGGGGTAATATAAAATACAAGAATATTCAAATGTTGGTTTATTTTAATTTTATTTTTTTGATACTGGGGATTGAACTTGGGTCCTTGTGCTTGCGCAGCAGGCGGCGAAACCACTGAGATAAATCCCTGGCCCTGTTGGTTTATTTTTTTATTTTTTAGTTTTTGGTACCAGGGATCGAACTCGGGTCCTTGCGCTTGTGCAGTAGGCGGTGAAACCACTGAGCTAAATCCCCAGCCCTGTTGGTTTATTTTTAAAACTCCTAAACAAGCTTCCTCTAGGCTAGAGGAACCTGCCATTGGTCCCTTTACTCTCTGTCTGGTTGGAGGATCACCACACCCATCGTATGCTCTGGGCCCCTTCCTTGATTTATGGTTTTTTAAATATTATTACAAATCATTTTTCTTTGAGTATTAATTTAACTCTCTTAACATAGCATTTAGTTAAAATCTTTGTCATCATTTGTCAGTTAACATGTATATACTGTTAGTCCATCCTCCTTTACACAAGTAACATTTTTGATTGTTCATACAACTACGATATTTTTTTCATGTTATATCTACAGCATTCCTAGAGATAGTATCATTACCAAATGGGTGGAGGAGAGCAGATGCATTAAAGATTGCTATGTACTTCACACTGTTTTAAATACAAGGGTACAACAATGAACAGTCAGAAAATCCTATACTTCTGGAATTTAAATTCACATAGAAGGCAGTAAACACCTCAGAAAGCACATTTAAATAGTATGTTGGAAATTGATAAGACCTTTAGAGAAAAATAAAGCAGGAAAGAGAAATATAGTAGTAAAAGGGGATGAGAATGAACTGGGTTGCAAGTTATGTCAGACAGAAAAGGAAGGCCTTTCTGAGAAGAGCTATTTGAGGAGAGACCTGACAGAGGTGGGGAAACTGCTGTGGAACAGTTTAAGGTGAAGTCATTCTAGGAAGAAAGTACTAAGAACAAAGGCTCTGGGGCAGAAATCTGTCATGCATTCATTGTAAAGGAACAACAGGGTAAAGGGTAGCAGGCCAGGGCTGGAGTGAGAAAGGGGTAGGTTGTGATATGGGTTTGGTACGGAGGGTCAATGTGGGAGATTTTGGAGATCCTTGCAGGCCTTTTGTATGGCTTTGGCATTTGTTGAATTATTATGGAAAGCCATTTAGCTCCTATCAGCACTACTTTAGCTGCTGTACTGGAACTAGGCCATCAAAGGGGGTAAGAAAGAGTGGAGGCAGAGACACCTGTGAAGAGACTTTTGAAATAATCTAGGCAAGAGGTACTAGTGGCTTAGGCCAGGATTGTAACTATGGGGATTGTGAGAAATGATCAGATTCTGGATATACTTTGAAGGTGATGCTTTTCTGATATATTTGCTATGGATATGAAAGGAAGAGAAGCATCAAGAATAACTTACTGGTTTTTTTCCCCTGAGCAACTAGAAGCATATAGACACAGTAAATTTTGGGGGAAGATATGTAGTTCGGTTTTGCTCATATTCAATTTGAGATTCATTAGATATCCAAGTGGAGATGTCAGATTGCTAATTGGATGTGCAGTATTCTCGGCAGGGGTTGCATCCCAAGACCCACACTGGATGTTTGAAACTGGATAATAGTCCTGTATATACTATTTTTCATATATATGTATCCATATTTATACATAAAATATCTACATCTAGATAAAGTTTAATTTATATATTAGGCACATCAAGAGACTAATAACTAATAAAATATGACAGTATAATAAAACTGCTAGCGTACTACCGTTGTACTTTGGGGTCATTATTAATGTAGAATAAGAGTTCTGGGGCAGGGGATTTAGCTCAGTGGTTTCGCCGCCTGCTGCACAAGCTCAAGGACCCGAGTTCAATCCCTGGCACCAAAAAAAAAAAAAGTTACATGAACACGAGCACTAAAACAGGCGATCATACAACTGAGGTAGGTGGCCTCTAAGTCGCTAACAAGGGGGTAGCTTATCCAGTGTGGATATGCTGGGCAAAAGAATGATTCACTTCCTGACTGTGACAGAATGGAGCATAAGATCTAATCATGGCATCACACTACTCAACCGCATGCAATTTAAAACATACAGATTGTTTATTTCCAGGATTTTTCATTTAATATTTTCAGACCAAAAATTTCAGGGTAACTGAAATTGTGGAAAGTAAAGGACTACTATACATGTCTGAAGTTTATGAAAGACGCTCACTGAAAAAGTTTAGTGTGGGAGTTTTCAACATATAAATGATATTTAAAAACAAGAAAGAAACCACCAAAAGAGTAGTTTAGGTAGGAAGAACTGTTCCCTGAGGCCCAGTATTAGTTCATTAGGAGAAAAGAGGCAGAAGTAACCACAGAGAGAGAGAAGACAAACATTGGTGTTCTGGAAAGTGAATGAAAAGCACGAATCAGCTTGGTCAGCCCCTGCTGATAGGTTAAGACAAAGGCAGAATTGGCTATTCCACACCATGTCGGAGGTATTGGTGACCCTGATGAGCAATTTTAGTGAAGTGGTAGGTGCGAAGTGTATACATACACTTCCTGCTGGTCAGGCTAAAAACCTTGTTATCTTTGATGCTTCATTTTCCTTTATATCCACAATAAAAATCTGTTAGAAAATCCTGCCAACTCTACCTTCAAAATATATCCACAATCTGATCACTTCTCACTTGTCTCCACAGCTATAGAATTTCCAGAATTGGAGTGGGCTTGAAGAGAATGGGTCTAGATGCTGTATATCAGTGCTTGCTAACATTGCAGGGGTATCCAGTTAGCGTGTACTCCTGATGGAAAAAACATTATCATCTGTGAAATCTCTCTCAGAGAGAGAGAGAGAGAGAGAGAGAGGAGGAGGCAAAATAACTTCTAGGCCCAAATACTAATTCAAGGAAAAATGTATGTTAAAATACACCAACAGAATACAGTCAGCAAATTCTAAACTAAAGGAACCTCTGTAGGACAAATAAACAGATTTCTTCAACAAATAAATTCCTAGCGATCAAAACAGAATTGAGCCTATCAGCTGAAAATCCTCCAAACCATAGATAAATAAAATACAGCATGTCCATATAGTAAATATTATTCAACACTAAATAGGAGTGACATACTGGTACATACCACAGTAGGATGAACCTTGAAAACACGAAAGATCATAAAAGATCACACATGATTTTATTTATATGAAATATCTAGAAAAAACAAATCTATAGAGATGGAATATGAGTGGTTGTCTAGGAATGCAAAGAGGAAAATGCAAAGTTATTGCTAAAAATGGAAAGTTATTGCTAAATGGTATTGGTTTCTTTTAAGGATAAAGAGAATGCTCTAAAACTGATGTGATTGTATAACTATGCTAAAAACCATTGAAATGTACAACTTAGTGAATTTTATAATATGTGAATTATATCAAAACTAAAATAGAGATAGGCATTGTCTACTTTGGGATATGCTTGAATTTTTCTGTAATACAGTTTTCACAAGAAAGCATAGAACAATCATAGGGAGCAAATGTAGGGAGCTCTTTGTATGAAGGTTTTTTTCTGTAAGGAAGAACTTAGAGCAAAGTGGCAGTAAGAGGGATCCGCGAGTATAGGAATGGCTTCGTGTGGATGAGATGAGACAAACAAGAACATGTTTGCGTGATAGGACTGATCCCATAGTATGGAAAAATTAGTGCCACAGGACAAAAAGGATAAGAAATGCCTTTGAGTAGACCTAGATTTATTACTTTTTTCTATAATCTTATTGTTTATAACTGTTTATGCTGTGAGAGTTCTGTGACTTTATATTCTAATCCTTCTATCGAATGTTTTGGCTTTACTCCCACATTTTTTGCATTCAAGAGTTCTTATTCATTGGGTGTTCTTATCTCATGGGTACAATATCATTTTTTCTTTTTTCAAAGTTTTCTCCTGCTTGCATTACCTCTGTTACTGGTAAACAGTTCTTTGTTTTCTTTTTGTTTTGATCTCTGACTTGAATATTAGGGTCTTATTTGTTTTTTTGGTATTGAGGATCGAACTCGGGACCTTGCGCTTTCGAGGCAGGCGCCGGAACTACTGAGCTAAATCCCCAGCCCTATTAGGGTCTTATTGACCTAGCTGACTGTTCTTCTTAAGAAAGAAGCACTAAAAGCTGAGTGAAAAGCTTTGTGTGCAAGGATGGAGCTTGTCAACTGGTGAGCTTCAGTGCACTGTGATCAGATGAGAGGCCTTGATCTCCTTATGTCCTGCTGCTAGCAGTGCCCAACCCAGGTTGCTAGTTCTTCTGGAGTGGAATGGAACAGATGGGATGAAAAACAGTACAGCAGATGATATAGTGCAAAACTGATATTGATAATTCACAGTGAATGTTGATATTGGCAGTGAATGCTGCAGCTTGAGAAGGGGAGAGATGATTATGGGTTAAAGAGAAGTCTGGGAAAGGATTCTTTGAGAGTGGCATGTGAGCTATACCTATGTAGTAGGTCTTTGAGAAAGATTAAGATTTAATTTGGTGGGATCTTTTAAGTTGGACCGAAGAACTAAGATGAGCATAACTTCAAGGGCAAGCTGAGTGCAAGTAAAGGATTCATATAGGTGACAGAACAAAAAGCTACTGAGGTCCTGTAATTAATGATTACTGAAAACCATTATACTTTTTAAAAGAGTGCTGTGAAGAAAATAAGATTTTAAGAAAATTAATGTAACAGTGAGATAAAGAGCGTTGGTTTTAAACTAAATACTGTGATTTTTGCTTTTCAGTACAAATACAGAGACCTAACTGTACGTGAAACTGTCAGTGTTATCACTCTGTACAAAGATCTCAAACCTGTATTGGATTCATATGGTGAGTTTATGTAATAAGTATACTTATTCTACTGTAAACTTACCGTTCTTGTTAATAATTGTAATTTTCTTATTTTCCTTTTAATCTTGCTGGTTTTTCAGTTGTAGGATTGAACCTCTGCCTGGTACAAGTATCAGGGAATAGGAAATTATAAGACCTAATAATAACATATTTGTTCAGCTCTTTAAAGTTGTTTCTTTTTTTTTTTTTTTGTACTGGGGATTGAACTCAGGACCTTGCGCTTGCGAGGCAAGCGGTGGCACCACTGAGCTAAATCCCTGGGCCCTGTTTTTCTTTTTTAACAACCTAGAACTACAGATTTAGACTTAGGAAGGGTTCCCTACCACCACCACCACTACACTAGGGATTGAACCCCAGGCCTCCCACATGTTAGGCAAGTACTCTACCACTGAGCTGCAAGCCCTTTTTATTTTGAGACAGTCTTTCTAAATTGCCCAGGCTGGCTGGCCTTGGACTTGTGATCCTCCCACCTCAGCTTCCTAACTGGGACCTGGGATTATAGGCTGCTGCACCTGGCCAGGAGGGAGTTTGTGTGTGAGCTCTTGTGTGTCTGTGTGTTACTCTGCTGATAGCAAGCACTTTGTCACTGAGCTACACTCCCAGGCCATAGGAGGGATTGTTTTATTTTGTTTTGATTTTTGAGGCAAGGTCTCCCTTTCTAGTTCAGGCTGGCCCTGAACTCACTATGTAACCCAGGCTGGCCTTGAATTTGTGGTGATCCTCCTGCCTCAGCCTTCTGAGTGCTGGGATTGCAGGCATGTCCCAGCCACCTCTCCCAGCAGGAGGGAATTTTAAAGATAATTTACTCTATGTTTCCTAAAGTGTTATCTGTAGACACAAAGTTATGAAGGATGTTACAAGGGGAAGGCTATAGGGATAAGATTAAAGGGAGAATTCTATGAGGAGTTGTGGATTAAACAAAATCAAGTGGATTTCAGCCAGGTGCAGTGGCATATGCTTGTAGTCCCAGCTACTCAGGAAGCTGAGGCAGGAGGATTAATCACTTGAGCCCAGGCATTTCAAGTCTAGCCTGAGCAACATAGCAAGAGTCTCTTAAAAAAGAAAAAAGTTGGGCCATGGATTTAGCTCATTGGTGCTGTTTCTGCCTCACAAGTACAAGGTCCTGAGTTCGATCCCTGGTACAAAAAAAAAAAAGAAAGAAAGAAAAGAAAAAAGTTAAATGCATTTCACTGTTGAAAGATTTCTCAGAACCTTTAATATGCTAATATGTAGTACATCACAAAGAGAAAGAATATATTTTACAGTGTATCCTAAAGGTACTTAACTACTGGTAATTCCCCTTTTCTCCCCCTATAGCGTTTCTCTATGTTCTCAGGAATACATCTTGTAAAAGCTGTACTCTGAGCTGTCCCTTACGTTTTATAGATGCAGAAAATATTTTTCATTATGGTTTTTTATTCTGTACACGGCAGCAATTTGTCTTTGCTTTTAGAATTTAAGTCAAAGATGACAACACCTGGAGTTTTTCTTTTTTAAAAAATACATTATTTTCTGTCCCCACTGAACCCTAACACAATCTCTTCAACTCTATGTCCTTGAAAACAGCTAGCATGCAGGGGTCCAAGAGAAAACCTGTGCTGCCTCTGGTTGATAAATAAAGCCCTTGGCTCTGAAGGCAGGGAACTAGCTTGGAAATTCTGAATTCCACTCGCCCTAGGGCTTTGAAAACAGTAGGCGCTGGTACAGAGATGTGGACTAGAAGTCCTCTCCCATCCTAGGGCACAGCTCCTCCGAATCTACCTCCCTTCTGTCTGTATACAGACTGCACTGTGGTACTGTGATCTGCAAAAATATTAATTTACCAAAATTATTTAAACTGAAGTGGCTTTAGTACAGAGAAAAATGATTGGGGCTAGAACTTTATTGTGAGTGTACAGTTTTTGCTGCATACTGAAAGGATCAATATGTTGATCAAACATAGTTTCATATGGCTGGACCAAATGTAAACCATTATCATCAAAATGCTTTTAGAGTAAATAAAGCCCTAAATTTACATAAGATTTTTTAAATGCATGAAATCAGAATAAATTACAATGTTTTACAACTGTGAACAGTAAGTAAAAGAACTGAGGTTCAGCAGTGTAGTTCCATGTATTTGTATTGTGCATTATAGCTTTTTCCTTATGTGGTACGATGTTGATTTCAAATCATTAAAATTATAGTGGTTTATGTAACACTATGTGCCCTGATTAATCAGTTAATGGCAGAAAAATGCATGTCAGATGAGAAATACATATTGAAAGAAGCTATATGAAATTAATAGTGTAAACTATGCCTTTTAAAAATCTTTAATAGTGTGGTTTGATACTCCATTGACACTAAGAATTGCTGTGAGTAGGGGTAAACGCCAGGGGACTGCTAAAACATAATGATACTAGGTGGGGCCAGGGATTTAGCTCAGTGGTGTCACTGAGTTTGATACCCGGTACCAGGAAAAAAAAAATTTAATATTCAAGCATAATGATACTAGGGTAATGCATAGTGTGGTGACAGTTGATGGTGGTTTTGGGGGTTGTTGTTGTTGTGTACCAGGAACTGAACTCAGGACCTTGTGCTTGCCAGGCAGATACACTGGTGCTGAACTACATCCCCAGCCCTGGCTCTGTTGTTGTTTATAGTCCTGGGGCTCAAACCATGGCCTTATATATGCTAGGCGGATGCTCTACCACTGAGCTACACCCCTGTCTCTGATGGTGATTTGGAAATAGTTTTAGAATCATGTTAGTTGGAGACCAGAAGCTCCTATTTACTGGAACTGTAGCACTCACATCCATTTTTGCAAGTAAGTCAAAGTATCTTTTCTTTACTCATTGAAGAGCTGATCCCATTGAGTGAATAAACAAAGGACCCTTTGTTGTTGGACAGAATGGATGATACATTAACAAGTTAGCCCCGTTTATGGATAATAATGAATTTTAACCAGTGTTTCCAAAAGAATAACTTACATGAGAGTCTCTATAGAAATGCTCATGAATAAAAAAACTTTAAAATGTTCATGATTAAATCTTTGTTCTCTCCTTTCAGTTTTTAATGATGGCAGTTCTAGGGAACTAATGAACCTCACTGGAACAATTCCTGTGCCTTACAGAGGTAACTGTGTTATGTTATTTGTTTCTAATATAGCCGTGTGATGACATGATAAGTATATTGCCAAAGAGTTATAAGGAAATTGAACCTACTTACTCATGGCTTTCATTATGATAAGGAGTTTTTTGGGGGGGTGGGGTACTTGGGATCGAACTCGGGTCCTTGCGCTTGCGGAGCAGGCGGCGAAACCACTGAGCTAAATCCCCGGTTTTAAGCACTGAGTTAAAATCCCCATGATAAGGAGATTTTTAACTTAAGTTCTAATTGAACTTCATTTGGCAGTAGCATTTCACATTTTCAGCTTTTTAAAAAGTCTCTGACCGGGCCGAGGATTTAGCTCAGTGGTGCTGCACCTGCTTCAAAAGCACAAGCTCCTGAGTTTGATCCCTGGTACTGAAGGGGAAAAAAGTCTCTTACCAAGAGATATAAATAAATATGCACCTGGTTGCACTGGAAGAATTTAATGTCTCATGGAATTAGAATTTTAGAACTAGAACAGGAATCTGAGGCCTATGTCCCCGTAACTCAGCCATTGATTTCCCATAGGTATGTGGGGTGAGGGGATGGGTGTAAATTTTATCTAAACCAAACCACTACTCTCATCTTTTTGTTTTGTTTTGTTTATACTGGGGACCCAGAGCCTCATGCTTGCTGGGCACGTGCTTTACCACTGAGTTATGTCCCCAACTCCCTCAACTAGTTTTCATGTGGCAGAAGTTTACTGGCCTAACTTGTTCTGGAGGAGTCTTCATTGTCACAAAGCAGAGAATTCTGAATGATAGAATAAACTTAAATACAGCAACCCCAGGGACGGGCTTCATGAAAAAGTGGCTAGGGGTGTGGGTTTCAGGATGATTCAAAGGAGCCAGCGACCTAGGTACCTCACACACGCAGCTCACAGGAAGGTTCGAGGTCCGGGAGTATCTAGCGCTGGTGCCGGGTACTGCTGTGAGGGGGTTGGAACTCGGTCTGTAATGCCAGCAGGGCTATAAATACAACTGGAGCTTTACTTGCTTGTCCAGTGCTCACCACCTACTGCACAGCCTGGTTCCTGACATGCCATGAGCCTGTGGGTTAGGGACCGCATATTAGCATATATCCTTTTGGAGCTTTTTGTTATTATTCAATGTAAAAGTAATTTGGAGTTTAAAAAAAAAATCCAAAGTCTCGATTATCTGATCTGCATTTAAATTGTTAGGTGATTCAGATGGTTTCTTGGGACACGGGACTTTGAGCATAAAAAGAAAAGACTATGATTTGTGTTTAATATATTAACTGTTGGATATTTTTTTTTTGTTACTGGGGATAGAGGCAAGGCAGGCGCCGTACCACTGAGCTAAATCCCTGGCCTGAACTATTGGATCCTTTGAGAAAGAATAACTTCAATACTTCTTTCTTTTTTTGTTTTTTTTTTTGGTACCAGGGATCAAATTTGGGTCTTTGCGCTTGCGCAGCAGGCGGCATTCAGTATTTCATTTTAACTATGTATAATCAAATTTCTCAGCTGAGGTAGATTCTGTTTCATAAAACAAAGAGAAAGGTATATCATTGATTCTGAATGATTAACACTGGAAAACACCTTATGCATTGGTGAAGCTGAGAACACCCATTAGCATTTGTTTGATGTGTTGGATTGGATTTTATAATCTGGCTTTAGGCAAGAGAATTTTAAGTCTTATCTTCCTGTATTACTTTGTTATAGTACCTTAATCTTTGTTCTTTCTTCCATTTCCCTTCCCAGCAAGCCTTATTAACTGAAATGATAAAGAGTCATGTAGTAAAGAATAGATTGGCTGAGATTATTCCTGAAGAATGTTTCATAGTAGTAAGCAGACACTGACAGAATAGTGATTAGTTAGCTTCATCCTACTGGTGTGTTTTACAAACTGAAAATTTGAGGACTTGATCTTAAATAGAACTTTGAAACAAAATATTTGTTGTGGTTTTGTGTGTCTGTGTGTGTATGTTGTGTAATTGTAGCTCTCTTTTACTTACCTATTAAGCTATTATTTGGGGGCTTTTTGGTACCAGGGATCGAACTCAGGTCCCTCCACTTGCAAGGCAGTCAGCGGAACTACTGAGCTAAATCCCTGGCCCTATTAAGGTATTATTGAAAAATAATAAACATAGAGTAACTGAAATTTCTCTTTCTCTCTCAGGTAATACATATAATATTCCAATATGCCTATGGCTGCTGGACACATACCCATATAACCCCCCTATCTGTTTTGTTAAGCCTACTAGTTCAATGACTATTAAAACAGGAAAGCATGTTGATGCAAATGGGAAAATATATCTTCCTTACCTGCATGAATGGAAACACGTAAGTATTAATACGATTCTGTGAATTCACTGTATTTTATGTTTTGCTTACTAACATCTGCTTCCTGTAATACTGAAAGGCTAGGTGAGTTCAGATAATGGACTAAACACTGACTTTCTAAAAAAGATTAAAGATTCAAAAGGACTCCAAGAGAAACGCATCTTATATTTGTATAAAGCTTTGAAATTTAGGGGGCAACCCATTTTCCAGTCCCCCTTCTGTCTCTCTTAGGTAGGAGCTATCTTTCTCTCAATAAATTTTTCCTACTCTTAACCTCCATTGTTCCTAGAATTCATTCTTTGATTTTAGAGAACACGAACTTGCACTTTGGATATGTAGCAGGTTTGGGAGTTGCATCTCTTCCTCCTATATCAAGATGACCATTGGGCGGGGATTTAACTCAGTGGTTCCGCTGCCTGCCTTGCAAGTGCAAGGACCCGAGTTCGATCCCCGGCACCAAAAAAAAAAAGATGACCATAAAACAAGTTACATTATGGAAGAAAAAAAAAAAAAAAAAGGCAAAATCTCAATGTAGTTTTGATTTGCATTTCTCTAATGGTTAAAGATGTTGGACATTTCTCCATATACTTATTGGCCATTTGTACTTCTTTTGAGAAGTGTCTTTCCAGTTCATTTGCCCATTTATTGATTTGGGTTATTTGACTTTTTGCAATAATCACATTTTTTTTTTAACTAGAAGGGAAAGAAGCATCTTTCAACTCTGCTTTGAGAAATTTGTAGGGATGATGCTGATTAACCTATCTCCAGTGATATTTGCATCCTTGTGACCCAGGGAGGGGATCCTAGCTCTGTGATCAGAAGAGGGGAGGAGTTTACGAAGACAAAAACAAAGGATTCCATTGCATTATGGAATATGTGCAAAGTGAAATTTACAAAATACTATTGTATTGACCTGAGTTGAACATTTAAACATAGACAGTGCATATATATATATTTTTTTTCTTTTTTTTTTTTCTTTTGGTACCAGGGATCAAACTCAGATCCTTCCGCTTGCAAGGCAGGCAGCGGAACCACTGAGCTAAATCCCCGGCCCGACAGTGCATATATTATAGAAAATGAATTTTAAAATACGCTAGTAGAATATGTTTGTGAAACTCAGGTGTCATCATTCAAAGCAGTCCTCTTAAGAATAATAGTTGGAAACTTCTGTTTCTGCCTCTGGTGGTCTAACTAGCAAACCAGTGACCCTGCCAGAAATACTGAGAGAAGCCAGATAAAACACAGACAGCATCTGTTGGAATGCTTTGGAAAGCTGTTGAGGCAATCAAGGTTTGAAGGGGAAAGATTCTATAGAGAAGGGAACTGTGAAGAGATGAGCTAACATTTTGCTCAGGACTTTCCAGCTCATGGTATTTTCTGATGCTTGGTATAGGTTGAGAGCCTGAGAATCTGGATAGAGGGCTTTAGCTAAGAGGCTGAGAAGCTGGCAGAGTTTCAAGCAACCTAAAATGGCTGAAAAAGACAGAAGCTGCTGTTCTCTCTACGAAGGTATCCAGGATTTTAGGATCCAAGATTTGGGAGAAAAGGAGGCCTCAGAGAAGTGAGTCAGATCTTTAAGATAAATGCTGAATTCCTAAGCTTCAAAGACAAGATGCTAAAAAGCTCAGCAGAAAGCCTCTGAAAAGTACAGCTGAATTTTGAGCATCCTCAGGTTGAGGAGGCACTTGGAATTCAGAACCTTACCAAATAGAAAGGATCCAGGAGGCTCTTAGTTGGCCTCACTGGCAAAGCTATTTTAGGAGGGGGCACCCAGAGGTAGAACAAGCCTTACAAAACCCAACCCTGAGGGCAGGGGATTTAGCTCAGTGGTTCCACCGCCTACCTCGAAAGCACAAGGTTCTGAATTCAATCTCTGGTACCAAAAAAAAAAAAACCCAACCATGAGCCCGCTTGGTCCTTGATTTTATTAAAATGATCCTTACTATGTCTGCTTGCTTCAGGAGAGGGTCATTTCTTACTAGAATAAAATAATATTCATAAACAGTGTCTAGCAGACAGTGTAAAATGATCAAGTACACCAAGAACCAAGAGGAACAAAGGAACAAAAACATGATACTTCCCTGTCCCCGGGCTCAGCATTTACATTCACAAATAAACACAAGAAAGAAGGTATTAGAACAGTGGGAATGAGAAAGTTTTCACAGGAAGCTTTGAGAAGTATTTATTATCTTCGTCCATAAAGTGGGTCAAAATTGAACAAATGAGATGAGTTTGGTTCTTGTTGGCAACCTGTAAACTGCTACTCTTATCAAAGTAAAAGAAGAAGAGCTGGGGATTTAGCTCAGTGGCACAGCGCCTGCCTAGCAAGCACAAGGACTGAGTTTGATCCCTGGTACCGCAAAAAAAAAAAAAAAAAGAATAAAAATTTATGGTGATGGTTAGCTGGTTAAGGTGATTAGCCCTTCAGAAACTAATGATTTCATGGAAGAAGTATTTGAGTAAGAACTACAGAAAATAAGTAAAAATAGAATCGTCAGGCCTGGGGATTTAGCTTAGTGTTTCTGCTGCCTGCCTCACAACCTCAAGGTCCTGAGTTTGATCCCAGTACCAAACCGCCCCCCCCACCAAAACCCATCAAATAAGCCAGTTTCAACACTTTTACATAACAGTTTGTCTTAAATTAGTGGTCAGTAAATATTTGAGAGAAAAAATTTAGCAACCCAAATGGAAAAATGGGCACTTGGTTTACAACTGTTATTGGAAGGGAAGATCCTTTAACAGTTTCTCTTTTGAACCATAATCCAGCAATTTCTAAGCTAGTCTACCTACAGTTTTAGTTTATGACAGTATCTTTAATAAAAATTAAGGACATTTGTTTCCAAGGTAATACTGTTTATCTTTTAAAGCCTTAAATAGACTAGAGTTTATATCCATCCTTAAGTTTATACTAGTATACTTGACTTGTCCATTGACAGTAAGGTAAGTTTTGGTTAGCTCTGTGGAATCAGATGAAGAATTTTGCAAGGTACTTCTTTGGCTAATGCTCTTGTATACCCTGAAGCAAGAGCCTTGCCACTGATATACAAATAACTATTAAAAACCACATACTTTTATTACAACAATAAATTTAAATGGCATTTTCATGATTGGGGTCTTAACAGAAAATTGTCAAACTGAGTTGAAAATTGATGAGAAATGGCCAACTTTTCCTTTTCACTGAAAAGTGTTTCTGCAGTTGACAAGAATTCGTTTTCCTTTTCAGCCTCAGTCAGACTTGCTGGGGCTTATTCAGGTCATGATTGTGGTGTTTGGAGATGAACCTCCAGTCTTCTCTCGTCCTACTGTTTCAGCATCCTATCCACCATACCAGGCAACAGGGCCACCAAATAGTAAGTAATTTGAGAAATATTTGTAAATAATAAGTAAAATTGAGATTTGATTGTAAAAACTTAGATAAACAAAAGTAAACAGCCCTCTAAAAATTTTGATAACTTTGCTTTCTAGCTTGTCAAGTTAATGGAGTTCTGGGAGGTATTCTGAGGCCCCGCATCTGCATGTACAAATTCCTACCAAAGGCTGGCATTTGGGCTTCCATTTGTGGGTAGAAATCTAAGTATGTGGGTGCTGCATTCCAAAATGGAGGAGAAAGTGCTGGAATAGAGCTAGAATTTTTAAAATTATGCATGCCATGGAATAGCCTTATTTGATCATCTTAGATGTAAATATATAACTTGAAAGGTAGTTTGACCTCCCCTTTCTCTTTGCAATTCCAGAATTAGTGTTGTGGGTAAGAACTAACTATAAGGTCACCTAAATCATTCACATTCAGCTATTCCAGGTATACACAATTGGACATCTAGCTTTCAGCTTTCTTCTCTTTAGTACAGCCAATTCATGATTTTGTCTTGTGTGGTGGTGAGATGGTAACCAATTCTCCCATAGTTGATATGTATTAATTAGCCCTATTATCTGTTTGTTTGTTTTTTTAAAAATTCTTACGAGTACTTTAAAATTTCCTTGAATAATTTGGGAGTTGGTTGTACTCATCTGTTTTGACTTTACTAAATCTCTATTGATTTATTTTATCGTACTTTGAGCTGTGTTTTTTTAATGTAAATTTTATTTAAGGTTGTAATTAACCAAGCTTATTTGTCTTTTAAGGTAAATTATGTGAGATTTAGATTTTTTTTTCTGCTGAAAATCACCTTGTTCTTTTTGTTTTGTTTTGTTTTGTTTTTGGTACTGGGAATGGAACTCTGGACCTTGCACTTGGAAGGCAGGCAGCGGAACCACTGAGCTAAATCCCTGGCCCCACCTTGTTATTTTTAATCCATTCTTTCCTGAGGAGCTTCTTGACTTATGAGCAAATGGGAATCTAACAGACCTTTTTTAACTCCTCCTCCAACTTCCCAGAATAAGCTTGGTTTTAGGGTTAGCATCTGTTTCATTAAAGATACCAGTGATTCTTTTGGATCAGAAATTGTTTTCATCTTACTAAACACTTTTCTCTGGTGCCCAAGAGAGAATATTGCTCGCTGGAGTTTGAAATACTTTGTGTTTTCTAGTCTTATCACTCTTTATCTGCTCAAAACATAGCCAGTGGCCACTTAAGACAAAGGTAAGCTTTTCGGAAAGTGAGGTAGTCTCCTAAACAAGAGTTCTTCCCCTAACTTTCTTTGAGTTTTATATTGACATTGGAAAAGAGACCACACTATGGTCACTGTCACACTTTTTAGATTTACTATAGTAAATATTATTTACTTTTTTTTTTCTTGGTACCAGGGATCGAACTTAGGACCTTGTGCTTGTGAGGCACATGCTGGAACCACTGAGCTAAATCCCTGGCCTCTATTTACTATATTATTGCCACATTATTGCCCATCCCTTCCAGTTTTAATACATTTTATACATTTAGGCAACATATATTATTATTATTATTATTATTATTATTATTGTTGTTGTTGTTGTTATTATTACTAGGCATCCTAAAGAAGTAAAAGTCTGAATTCCACCCCCCAACACACACCTACAAATGAATAGACAAGAAATTTAAACACAGGGCCGGGGATTTAGCTCAGTGGTTTCACCGCCTGCTGTGCAAGTGCAAGGACCTGAGTTCGATCCCTGGTACCAAAAAAAAATTTAAACACATACTTAAATATTATAATTGAGAAATTATATACTTATATTTGAGAAAAAATATACTTTTTCTTATCATCAGAACATGTTTTGTTTCTTTTAAGATTACTATTGAGCTGGCTGCGAGTCACATTAATAAACAGTGTTACAGCCTGGCACAATGGCATTTGCCCATGGTCCCAGCCAGTTGGGAGGCTGAGGCAGGAGGCTCTCTTGAGACCTAGAGTTCAGGGCCAACCCAAGCAGCGTAGCATGACTGTAAAAACAGTCTTTAGGGCTGGGGATGTAGCTCAGTGGTTCTGCCGCCTCCCTCGCAACCACAAGGACTCCAATTCGATCCCTGGTACAAAAAAAATTTTTAAAAAGAAAATAGTCTTTAAAGGTGTCTTTTTATAAATAAATAAAAACTTTATACTAAAACCTCATCTTTTGACAACAATAATAATCCACATTTACTGAGTAGTGATTATGAATCATAGTTTGTGAGTCCTTGATTTTAAACGAGTTCCGTTCTGGGAGGACATTCATAAATCAGATTTGTTGGCATGTCCGACAAAGTCTTATATGCTTTTGACACAAATATATAATATAAAAGCATAAAAAACCAAACACACAAAAATGGTGTAAATAAACTATTTTTACTTTTACGGTTAACCTTAAAATGGTGGGACAGTACAGTACAACTGTAAATAGACTCAGTACAATCTCATTTTCACTTTTGTTTCCACGGTTATTGCTTTGCACTTCCTGGCAGTCCCTCCACATCAGCACTGCGTTTCCTCCTGCTTCTGGCATCCTGGGCTCTGAGCGCTATACCACTGTATACTGTCGCACTGCACAGTAAACACACAGCCGCACAACTGCCAGGGTCCCACAGACACGTCAGCTACTTCCACGATTTGTATCTACAGATATTCTTAATTTGAGGTCCATCCATATCTGTAAAAGCCCCCAACTTGAATGTTCGTAAATTGGGGACTTACTGTACTCAGGTATCATTTTCATTTAATCACCATAGTTACCTCATATATAAAATACGTTAATATCCCATTTGATTCTGGCTCCAAAATCACTTCACCCTCTTACCTGTTTCCTTACCAGTCTTGGATCCAAATGATACTTTGTATTTCCCCAAGTTGAAACAAAAGCTTTGGTGAAATTATTAGTTTTTAGGACTTTAGAAAAGGAAAATTGCTTATCATTATTCACCCAGAAAATATGACTGCTGAACACTGGCCAAGCAACTGTGGCGAGGGCTTCCAGCGGGCGGCCTTTGTTGACAGGAGCCTGGCACGAGGCTCCCAGCCACTGCCCACCTCCCAGGTGTAGACTGGCTCCCTTCTAGAATGTTTTGTAGATAGTCCTCTGCACTTCCCTGTTGGCACAGTTCATGCAGGGTGTGCATGTAGTGTCGCCAGTATTGCTTATTTTTTGCTTGTTTATCTCCCCCAGTTAGACTGTGAGCATCTTCAGACCAGGAAATCTTTCTTCCTTCCTCACCCTTCTTCATCAGATCCTGGTTCTTTTTTTTTTTTTTTTTAGTACTGGGGATCAAACTTGGGATCTTGCACTTGCAAGGCAGGCGGTGGAACCACTGAGCTAAATCCCTGGCCCTAGATCCTGGTTCTTATCACATAGAAGACACTAAAATATTTATCAACTTAAGAGCTAATTCACCACTGTACTTAATGAGAAAAGTTTCACTAAGAAAAAATTGATTCTCATCACATGCCATTGTCACTTAAGGCCAGAATTACCTTCTTTCCTTCTGTGAAGGCCTGTTGGCACCACTGACTTTAGCTCTATCCCAGTAGTGTTTTCTGAAAAAGAATAGGGCCAGGGATTTAGCTCAGTGGCACTGCACCTGCCTCTCAAGTGCAAGGTCCTGAATTTGATCCCTGGTATTGCAAAAAAAAAAAAAAAAGAATAGGTAAGGCATTCTTTTAAAATGGCAGGATTTTAACTTTTTTTCCTACTATTTCCAACCAATCTAGATAAATATGAATGTAAATTTTGAATTGTACTTGACACTAATTTGAAGTCTTAAAATTCTTAAACAAGACAACAAAACTAGCTGTACTCATTGGTCAAAACAGCCTTCAAAGAAATATCAAATGATTTCTTAAATATAATAAAGAGGTCACGGGCCAGGGATTTAGCTCAGTGGCACAGCACCTGCCTCACAAGCGCAAGGTCCTGAGTTCAATCCCAGGTACCAAAAAAAATTTAAAAATAAAGAAGTCACTTTCTAAGAAGCTGATCTTGGACCAAATGAGGCCAAAATTACCTTCTTCAAATTATAAATTGAATCACCTCTTGTTTCAAGTTACATCTCCTTGAGAGCTAACCAAGCTGACCAAGTCGACTTGTTTGCCAGTTATTTCTTTTCTTTTTTGGTACTGGGGATCGAACTCGGGACCTTGTGCTTTTGAGGCAGGCAGCAGAACCACTGAGCTAAATCCCCGGCCCTTGCCAGTAATTTCTTGTTGGGGGTTTTCATGAGTATTGTAACTCATGTTTAATGACCTGAGAATTATGCTTGAAGTAAAGAAACTGTATGGGTCAGATGTTTGTTTTGTTTTGAAGCTGAGATTTGGCTTCTCTGTGTGAAATTTTGCTGTGGTTTTGAAACTTGATGTATATCTGATTCGATAGCCTTCATATTTCAGGACTGTGCATATTATTTTAAAATGTTAAAAATTATTTTTAGCCTCCTACATGCCAGGCATGCCTGGTGGAATCTCTGCATACCCACCTGGATATCCTCCTAATCCCAGGTAATGAAAGATTATGCTTTGAATAAATGTATTTGAAATTCTATTAGCTTTTGAATTAAAATAATAGCCACCAACAAGAGTGTTAAAATCAGTTAAGTTGCATTCCATAGAAGATAAAACTTGGTTTATTGGTAGAATGTTTCGATGTGTATATATAGTTTGAAAAGTGTTTTTCTAGTCTGGAGAAATAGAGCTGCATTTTATTTATAGAGAGGAAAGAGGTAGGGTTGGTAAGGACAGTGGTCCTAATTGATTTTGGACCTTGAAATCTTTGGTACTTCCCAGACCTTTACAAACTCTGTATGTCTACTGTAGATAGTTGAAAGGTTAATGGAATACAAAATATATTGAATTCATGCAAGAAGGAGACTATTTTAATACCCTTTTTAAAATAAATACATTAAAAGCATTTCTATAAACTACAGGGAATCAATTAATGGTTCATATGATGAGGTCAGACATGTCCCAGGATA